CGTCGACTGCAGGTCATGGCAGATTTTGACAGTGACACGTGGACCCTGCTTGCAGTCCATTGGCCCCGGTGACTCACTCAGACTGTCACTCTTTGAATAGAGCTCAGAGCATAGGTTCGAAAGAATTCAGGTTGCGGTATTTAAAATCCATACATGCTCCTACAAGAACTCACTTTTCGAATATGCTGTACATGAGTGTTTAAGTGGATTCTTGCTTAATATACAGCTTAATGAAGAGTGTTAAATCATTGATCCTCTCATGATAGTAATTCAAATAGAAGAATATTTTATTATTATTATCAGTCTGAGAATACTTTATTCATATGACAGCAGAATCTAACTGGTTTTAGAAGGAACAAGCCTGAACATCTTCCAAAGGTATACCGAAATGAAAGGTAAACACATGTCAGAATCAGATTTCTGGTTGGTGGTATTATGTTTCTGATACGACATACTGCATGCTTCTGCGATGTGAGATCCATCAGACTGAGATGAGGAGAGATTTTGTAGCAGGTCGTATCAATCATCACCCAGATAACTCCGTGAATTTTATATAGCCAACCCATCACAATGTGGCTCTGGCTTTCATCATTCGTAAAGAAGACAATTATGGCTATATCTTTGGAAAACATTCACATCATCCTTCACACACGGACACACATACTTCAAATTTGACTTTCTTCCAAGTAAAGTAGGACAACAAAAGAACAGAAAAATATTCCTTCGAGTTCGAGGCTTGACTCTTGCAACAACTTATGCTTTCCCACACCTTGCCCAGATGGCAGGAATTTTCTCTGCAAGAAAGGGCGAGGATTGTACTGATCATCCTTTGCTCACTCAACTGTAGTTTTCTCCAAACTCTGTTGGAGGTAAGACTCTAAACATTGTAGCTATCACGGCGTACTTGTGTGAGGTGTTGGTTACTTTGAGTACTCGGAACTGCTCAAAGTGAGCTTAACTGGAACGTACAGACACAAGAAATTATCGATTTCTCGACTTTGGAGATGGAGTCAGTTTGTGGGTGAAACATGAAAACCACCCTTGTTTGACACGATCGATGACAACTAAATGAGAGTACATTCTAGAGAGAAAGAAAAGCATGTGAATGTAGGTCTAGTTTCAGAACCAGGTATCTCTCTTAGGTACATAGATGCAACTGCAAGTTTCTGAGTCCACTGGGAGGCTGTGGTTGGCGGAGAATGTCTTCATAATGCATATTAGCTAGACCTTGAAGTGCATAATTACAAAGATTTTCTGATATTTGTTTGGTGATCGCAGCACATGGATATTGTTCGTCAGAACCATGAGTAAGGTGAGGTAGCTTGGCTTTTTCTTTTTCTCACAACTTGCCTCATTGTCCTCTGAAGATTTTTTTATTTTTGAGCTATGACAGTTTCCTCTTCTCTTCAGTAAGCAGCTGTACTTTAAATACAATATTAAATCAAGCCTTGGCCTCTTGTGTCAGTGTAATCCGTGATGAGATTGATTCCTCCGGCTAATCTCGCCACTGGTCGCCGAAGAGTTTACCCTAGATAGCAACTCAGTCAGCATTTGCTATTAATATTTCAATTATATAAACAGTGGATTTGGATTTGGAAGTACAGCTCAGGGCATGCCTTACTCTGGTCACAAACTTCTTCTTCTTCTTCTTCTTTTCCGAGAGGCAAAAGCATATAAAAGTGAGATCCAAACGCTCGCACTCTACTCTCTGCTCACTAGTACTTGCGAAGCTGGGGCATGGGGTACAACACAAGAAACATGATTGACCGCCAAACTGCCAATTCTAAAGATAGAAGTTGTAAGTATAAGGCCCCATGACATGACATCGTCTGTGGCCAGTTGCAGGTCCGTGTAAGGCTACATGAAAAGTATGGATTTGATGCTCTCATGCGCTCTGGCGAAGAAACAATATAGTGCGCGTTCTTTTGTTCTAATCCAATGATAAACTTTTTCCTCGGGAGGAGAAGCATTGAGGCACCCTCCTCATCATTTCACTCCCCTCGGCATGGTTTCTTGTAGGAATGTTGGTCCACTTATAAGACTACAAATGCGTGTTTGTTTTGTCGGTTTTATTCGAACTATGTGAAACTCTGTTCATGCCATAGCTCCTTCTTTTCGTCCGTCCTACGAGATAGATGTCTAGTCCTTTGCAGTACATGGCAGGTGACAGCTACCCAGCCTGGAACTGCTACAGCTACAACACAAGTCTCAAATCTGATGCTTACATACAAGACATCTCCTGGACAATATCACCTGGACCAGTAGCTCGCGCTTCAGCGCTTCTAGACTCTGGTCACACAGGGCAGGCATTATTGTAATGCAATTTAACCCGCTGCGTAAGCTTTAATCAATCGTGCTGGGATTGCCAAGATGTCAATGCACTCCTACTACCCCTCCTGACTATGATGGTCACCTACTCATCTCATGATTTTCTTTCACGTTGCAGTCTTTATTTGATGCTTACAAAAACGCCCCCGGATTAACAGAAACAAAAGACAGCAAAGGCACCAACCAAGAAGGCCAAAAGACTGCCTCCCCAAATATAGATCACCAGTCCTCCCCAGCCACCATCAACTCTTATCCTGAGCCACATGTCGACTACTACAGTAGCGTAGGATGGGATGCCCATTAGCAGCTGTCCGAGCAGGAACCAAACCAGGCCCTTAGATTCCAATCATGCCGCTTAAACCAGCGGGACGATGGCTCTTTCGACTTCTTCCCTCTCTCTAATCCTAATCTCTAATCTCTGAGCCTTATCTCTAAACCCATCTTGATCGAGTCACGAGATTATAGTCGCTGTCACTATGATAAACTTCTAATCTCCTCTGCTCTTTACCTCGGAAAATGCGTTGCCTAGCCTCTTATGTCGATTCAGATAACCTCATGTTCCTGCGATTGGTGCAAGGAACATGAGGTTTTTTTTCACATGCCCTTTTTTCGCTATACTCAAGGGCGACTTTAGAGCATTGGCCACTACTTATAGTACATATGTCTATATAAAATACAAGCCCGATAAGACAAGCAAGTGTGGAGCAAAAGAGATTTGATCTTTGATATTTCAGACTTTAACTTTGGCATTGTCCTTCAAGAGTGCTTTAGCGCAATCAGTGTTCATGTCTCTGATATTCAGAAGCGCACTCAACATAAATCACACCGTAGTAAAAATCATGTGTGTCGGATCATTACCTTCGGTGAAGACTCGCCAAGACACCACATGAAATCCACATGATCTCCGATGGTCACGTCTTAATTAATTTTCTCTTTTGCTCTAAACAATTATCGATGTTTCCCTGGAAAAAGTAATGCATATCAGGTTACGCTTTCACTTTTAGCCATTCAAAATCGCTGGCATTCTAACCTTAATCTATAAAGTTCGCATGTTTTATTACATTTTATAGAAGTTACATATACAGTCACATGTTGAACATTGAAATGCTACAAGAAACCCCTTGATTGCCGAAAGAGGTTAATCATGTATCAAACGATGTATTTTTGGCTCACGATTAAGTTAGTCCAGTTGACGGATTTATACTCTACAATTTCTTGTATAGTTTCATCGATGATTTTCGAGAAAAATCTAGTCCAATTTAAAAGGTTTACTCTATTCCAGATGAGGTAATCTAAATTCACATGTTTGCGAATTGGAAGAGATTTTTATTTCTCTTGCATAAATCTATCGGAAAGCAAAAAAATCACGTTATCATTGTGGAACTAGAATTGTAATTACAATAAGGACGTTGTCCAATCGTGTACGAAATCGTTGAAAATACCTTCAGCCTGAGGCTGCAAACGGCAGTTCGTAATTCGAGCTGAAGTGAAGTGATTCAAATCCTTTTTGTTCGAGGGAAGAAGTGTCGTGTGAGCACGAATACCTCTCGCTTCGTGATTTGGTTTTAGTGCAGAAGTAACTCTCCATGTTAGCGCTTCACTTGGCAGGTGAATGCGAAAAGGAACTCCGGGCTTGGAGGCCTCACTAATGCGCATGAACAGATTCCTATCACTAGGTGACTGACCATCATTGTGACAGCTCCACCGAACAAAAAGGAAAAACACCTACAAGATTTCATATAATTGCTTTATGACTGCAACCGACATGAATTCGAAGGCACAAGCGATCCGATAGTAACAAAGCAAATACGACTGGAATACAAATGGATAGGCATGCATTGATTGTGTGATGGTTTGGATCGGTTAGAGCACCGAGCCCAGCACACAAGAAGAAAAGTCCAAAACAGTTCCTCCGGGCTCGTACGCCATAGCCCAAGGTCACTATCAAAAGCAGAGTTTTGCAGGATGACCTGTGGATGATGATCGAACTACGTAGATCTGCACAACACAAACCGATGCAGCGAAGCGAAAGTAGCATCGCAAAGCGCAGCACAGCGCATCATTATTGACTCTCGTAGATAACTCTGCATCCTGATTGACAAAGACACACATGTGAGATGATGTGACTGCTGCAATCTCTGGAATTCTTTTCTGAATCTGTTAGTAACCCCACCTCGGCCCCCACTCGCCAGGGAATAGGGCCAAACTCGTTGTTACTGACTTACTGCCACGTCTGGTCGACGGGAGTTTTTTCTCCCCTCTTTCCTCGCTTTTCCAATGTACAAATTGTGTTGTCTGCACCTTTTTCTCCCGAGAATCCATCATCGTTGCGCTTGACAGTATGAAAGAATAAGCATGAGCTCATATGGTCGCTAGTGGTTCATGTCAGCTTTTACGGTTTATTCTGCTTCTCGCGTCTCCGACGGTGAGACCATCAGCGATTGTAAATCCCATATTTTAAGGCGGGAATGGAACGAGATTCCTTTTTGTTATCATTCAGGTAAGGTTTGGATAATAGATGGATGACTCAAGACTCCATCCCGAATTGGGCTCCGTAGGGCATGACGATAGATGGGTTCAGAAATCATTCGATTTGGCCGTTTGCGGACGAGCACCCGCAAGATATTTTCTAAAAACCGCATACACCTCCAAACTTTGAGAGCGCATTCGGTCAGCTTTATCAATCCATGGGTGGTCTTATCTTTCTATCTATCTTTCTATCTATTGTTCCATGGATCCATCCACCCACATCAACCTCCATCAACCTCGAAAGTATGCTCTTGGGCAGTCTAGAGTGGGAGCGGGGCGTTATCAGAGCCCAACACAAGATACATGGGGAGGGCAAGGAGCTCTAAAGATAGAATCGAGGTCTCATGTACATGCTGCGGCTGAGTGGATGCGCCTGGCATCTGCTGACCCACTCCCGAAGTCGATGTGCCAACAGTTGGTGTGCAACAGACATCAGCGCTTCGCGTTCTGATCATTCCGGCTTACGTTTGTTCTTTGTGCCACTGCCTCGTTCCATGTCACATGACAGGGTGGAACTTTCGAGAAGTTTTCAGGCTCCCAAAAGTGAGATCTGTGTTGTAAATCATTAGGTAAGGCCACCTCCAAAAGTACCTTTCCAACTCGGAATGGGGCAATTCGCCGATGAGGATGCACACGTTTGAGTTTGCGCAGCAAGTGCTGGGATTCAAAAGTGAATCTAGCAGTCCGTGGAAGGCCAGGGCAAAGATATTTGTGTAATATTAATGTTCTCCGTCGAGACGGATTTTTCAGATCCCCCTCCTTTCTTTCTTTCTAAGGCGACGAAGGAAACGAAGACGGTGTACTCTTTCGTTGCACTCGGCAGGATGATCACTCTAGCTAGCTAGGACAGGACGATCTATCTATCTAGGCGAAGGGTCCCTTCGTTCCTCAGCATCGCAGTCTCTTGCGAGCGATGCGGATGGTGCCAAGAAAAAGCAGCAGCAGCGGAACATGTCTGTGGGCTCGGACCAATCATGACTCTTCTCTTGCAGAGCGAAGGAAAAGGTCTCCTTTTGCAGCAAGGGTGGGGGAGGGGCGGGGCTGGGCTGGGCTGGCGTGGCTTGGGATGAAAGGGCTGCGGGAGGCGGTGCGAGGAGTAGGGCGAGCCGAGCCAATGGGGGATGGGGTTGTGGACAACTGGATTCGAGGTCTACACGGAGGCGAGCAGCGAAACTAGAGACCGTGTCAGCTGGTGCGCTGAAAAACATGCCTTAAGTTCTTTTGCTTCTTCACGAACAGAAGAACATCCTCATCGAAATGAGGGAAAGGCTAGAGCGCAGGAGAATTTAGGTAACATGGTTGCTGATTTTTTATACCTTCTCGTAGCAGGCATGATGTCTGCATCCTTCAGCAAAGTTGTTCCGTGTAAATGGTTTTGCATCTCTTGCGTAATTGCTCTTCCCTTTTGCTCTGGCTGCGATTGCCTTTTCGAGCCTCGGGCAGAAGTCACCGACATCAGCTTTCACCCCCACCATAATTGGGACTCAAGTTATGTGTCAACCCCCTTGTTCTATGTCGGCAGGCAAGAGCTGGGTGCCCGCCCGAGACCCAACACACAGCAAACCTTTCGCCTCCATGGAACACACCCCTCTAGGAATCATCTTCTTCCATGATACTTTGTGCAGTCTTCGACAGTGGACTGAACGTATTACTTGGACTGACGCACGGTGCACCGACTGAGGGTTGAGCTAGTGTAGTAACATTGGTTCCTCAACGCAGTTTTCAGAAATTTCACATACCCATTTATGACTAGACGCATATGAGAGTTTGTCAAGGTCATGTGGCGCGAATTATAGCCGACACAAGGAAAAACAACCTGGCGAATGAACTGTGCGTTGTGTATGAGCCATCAGAGTAGATCAACCGTTTCCTTGACTTTGAACATTGCATATGGCTTCTTCGGGTTTGTATAAATTATTGTTACATAATGACATGGTTTTGTATAGAATGATTCTCCACCACACTATTCTATGGGCGCAGAGTGGAGTGGCAGCTGTCATGAGTATACAAGTAGAGGGCGGTATGTGGAGAGTTAACTCTAACCTTGGAATATATGAAATTAGAGATCAACTTTGCAACATATTCGTAAGAACATTCACAAGAAGCTGCAAGTAGTATCATTTTCTTTGGCTTTTTTGTATTTTCTATCGTAAGCAAAACATATACATCGCTCAGTGTGAAGCACTACCTTGATTACTTTTATGTAAGAATAATCCCAATAGATGATGATTCTTCGTAGGTGAACCGTTTATCTACATAGTTAGAATATGTTCGGTCTCGTACTAAAAACTTCTCATTGTGACGCAATTTGATGTTAGCATCGTGTCAAAGACCATATATATATTAGTTTTATTTCTTGGTGAAAACATGGAAAACTACAAAATAAAGTTCGAAGTGCAAATTTGACTTTTCCTTGGTACGGTCGTAACACTTTCGGGGTGCATTCTTCTGGCTGGGCTGTCAACATTCGATTGATGTCGATTTTGATGTTTGACAGTACTTCGGGTCTCTCCGGGTCAGCTGCAACAGCAAATGTGCAGAAGCTGAGGACTTCAAAAGTGCTGGTTAGTGACGGTAAGAATGTGATGGTCCATGTTAAGAGTCCAATCGACGCCATCTGTCTATCGACCGGGTCACCAGTCACCGTCGGAGTCAGGCCACCACCCGTCAGTGTCGAATTGCAGCATCGACTGTGAATCAGCAACTACGGTACGTACGATAGCAGTTACAGTCGCAGTCATGCTCACATCATAAAGCGCAACTGCCTCCAGAGGTATCAGTTTCGTGACTCAGACCTTGTTCACATCAAAAAGACAAGAATAACCTCGCAGTACCAGATTGAGGACATTGTAATCGATACAGGAATAATCACTTTCTTCAAATGGACTTTCGTACGACGGGCTGCGAAGGTAAATCCAGTCGCTGTCATAAACTGCAAAACTGTCAAACTGCGACCGAACACCAAACGCGAAATTACATTCAATTTATCGGGTGTATCTGAACAAACTTGAAGACTTATATTCAAAGCCCATGGAGGGAAGCACCGAGCACCTTCAACTATTTTAGCGATCAATGGATATCCATGACAAAATTGCTGGAACGAAAAGTATGCGCTTGATAGTTTAAGAAGACAAAAATTTTGATCCGAGATGAAACACAAAATTTTTGAGAAACAAATAAATCTCTAATATAAATATGATTTTATTGTGATGCAACAACACAGTTTGCTCTTGATATTTGAATATGCAATAGAGTTGAGAATGGGGAAGAGAAGTATAATGTACAAACCTAAATTAGAAATTATTTTGTTCTTGAAGGTTTTTTGATATATTTTGATAGCAATTCAACAATCATAAATTTCTATTCAAATTCATAACATAGTTTTTATCTTTTTAATGCCTTCTATAAAGCTCCACAGCCTTCAAATTGTAAAAAAATAATCAAAATTTACAATTCATGTAAAAGATCATCAACAAAGAAAATAAATTTGCATTTCGATAAATCAATTCAATGAAATTTCAACATCTAACATTTTCATATCATCTAAATCAATTAATTTTTCAAAGCATTATTTGGCGCAATAGTAAAATGTATAACTTTTTAACAAAACTTTGACCTCTTAAGGATATATTTAAGTCTATAATTGAGACAAATATCTTAGATATATCTTAAAGATATATTAAAAGTCTTTGGCTCAATTATAGACTATGAAAAGGAAAAAAATTCAATTTTTTATTCAAAGCAGTCATTATATGAAAAAAACTGAAAAAATCATTATATGTTTTCTTATCTCAATACGAAATTTATTTGAAAAAAAAATGTTGATCGGCTAATTGAAATAATTTAATTTCTTTTATTTTGATAATGAATATAAAATCAAAAAATAAGTTCTCACATTGTTAAAACTCTTTGATCATAAAATGTCATCAAATGTATTCATATTTTTGGTATTCAAAATTTTTATTTAAATAAAATAAAAAATCTTCAAATTATCATGAGTAAATTAAAAGAGATAAAAAAAATGCCAAATATTGAATTCATAAATCATGTGAAATATTTATTTTTTATTTGCACATATTTTTTCAAAATGTAGAAATCTCAATTCTCAACCATTTGATTTTTTATTTGATAATATAATTATGATTTTGAATGTAAATTGGATATATAAAAGAAATAAGTTCATAGCATAATGTTGCCAGGTTTTACGCAAAAAGTAGATATTAAAACGTATGAATTATCTTAAAAAATAATGTCATCGAAATACTGCTGTGATGTGATAAAATTAGCATTTGATTATAATTGAAAAATATTATCACTTTAATTGGTTTAACATGTGATATGGAAAAAGTGTAATTGAAGATCTGGAAGGCAAATTTTACAAAGCCGATACACAGAGCAGAGAAAGAAAAATCTCAAACAAAAAATTTGGTGTGTCTTTACAAAGGTTATATTTATTGGTTCAGTCAGAAATTCTAGACTTGTGTCTCAAATATCTATGACTGATTTTCATATGCAGTGACATACTTTATCTAATTCTAATAATTAAGGTAATTATTAATTGTTAATAAAAAAATTTGAATTTGTTATTAAAAGTTAGATGATACTTGGAATTTAATGATATTCAATTGATGTATTATCCACATTTGATATTTTTATTGCTGCCATTTTTTGGCATGATTGATTCATCATTTGATAAAATTTTAATTGACGAGTGATAAATTTTAAATCCTTATTATTCTTTATATTATTTATTCAGGTTTAAAATTAATATTTGAAAAAAAAATGATTTAATTTAAACATGCTAAACCGGGTTGATCCGGATAGCATCAAGCTCAATTCGAAAGGAACTTAGATTTGCCAAAATAGCTCCTCATCTTGAATAGCGATAGCTGGTTAGCAAGATTTTTCATAATATTATCTAAATATAAATCATAACTTTATATAATTTTATATAAAACTTATTATAAAACCTTATCAAATAAATCTGTCAAGCTCAAAAAAATCTGTATAATTTTACATTAAGGCTTATCTAACTCTTTATTACTTTCAAATTTAGTAAAGTTTGACAAGTGCAATTCAACTAATGTGTAAAATATATATTTATATTAAAAAATCAATATGAACTAAACATAATCACATTATTTCTTAAAAAAATTGTGACTTTCAAAATTTGAATTTTTAATCAATGAAGAAATTTAAATTAAATTTATAAAGATCTTGAAGATTTTTTTAAAAAAATTAAACATTTATTTCATACATATGTTATGAAATGAGTTCAAATTTCCATATCACTACCAAGATTTAGAAACAAAGAGAAAAAGTTATTATAATCAAAATGAGTTTTCAATACATTCACATTAAAAAATATATATTGATATGAATGTGATTAAAGTGAAGTTCTAAAGTCATATTAAAATTCAAATAAATAAAGCATATCTATAATATAATTATCAAAATGAGTATCATAGTAATAGAATGATCATAACATTAATTATCCAAATTTTCATTCTTTAACTTTTATGATTGAGTTTAGACTCAAGTCTTAATGTGAAGAATTTCATATATGTTAATCTACTTATTGATGTTTGATATAACGTATGATAAAATATTTGTAGCTATCTATATTTGGCAATATTTGAAAATTTTGCATATTTTCCTTTTTAAAATAATTTTATCTAAATTTCAAATATATATAATTTATATTTATATTTATTAAATATTTCAAGGTTTATTTTAAATCCTTGCAATAAATCCAAAAATGTAGTAAATGTGTTATTCATATCTAATCAAAATGAAATCTACAACTTTATTTTTCATTTTGTGTATGTGTACAAAAAAATCAAACAATTTTTTTGAATTTTCATAAGTTTTTCAAATCATCAAAATTTTTGATATTTGATATTTTTTTGAATTCTTGTTTATTTCATATGAAGATTACAGCAATTTCCATATCATATTTTTGAGTTATTTTTTTCTTAAATCTCGTACATTGTGGAACTTAAAAAAATTACACAAAATCAATTCATCTATATTATATTTAAAAGTTGAAATAAAAACTTTGTTATTATCAAAATAATCACAAATATATTCACAAGAATAGCATATTTAGTTAATGAAAAATAAATAAAATTATTTCTACATCTTTTTGTATGTGAATTGTTTGACCATCACCATACTCTTTTAGATCTTTTGCACCTTGTGAGTGTAATTATTCTTCAATTTGTTAATACACATTCTAATCATTAATTGTATAACTCTTATATTCATTCAAAAATTACAAAAAAAGTTTGCATTGTTGCATTTAATTTGAATCTATTCAAAAAATCTAAAATCCACATATTGAAAAAGATCATCCTTATCTAACATGAAATCCAAATCAGCATCACAAGAACAAATGTTATCATGACTAATTTCAATTGAATAACTCTATTTTCCAAATCAATCAAGAGCAAAAGTATTATAGCCGGACATATTTAATTTTTCATGATTTTATTTTATCTTCACATGCTAAAATGTGTAGATATTAAGTTATTTTTTTTGTATTTTATTCAAATCATAACATTTGATAATTTAAATAAGCATCTGAATTTTTTTTTATTTAATAAAATTTGACTAATTTTTTTTTCAAAAATAAAATAAATTATATTTATGAAAATTTTAAGTTATTATGATATAAATTTATAAAACTAAGAATATTTAATTAAAAATTAATTTATTGATAAATAATTTAGTTGATTTTAAAAACTAATTAAAAAATTAAATATGACACCTATGATATGTCTGAGTATCTTAATTTTTTTTCATTTAGACGAAAAAAAGATTTTGAGCCAATTTGCATATTATTGATATCACAAAGCATAATTATTATCAAGTAAGTCATACTCATTGTTTTGGTTTGATTAATTTTTTAAAACAATCAACTTTTTCACTATATCAATAAAGCATCTTTGATGAGAATCACATAATTTTTTCAATATTTATTCTTGTGATATGTTATTAGTATGTTAATGTCTCTTGAATGTGTTTGGTTATTTTCAACTACATTTGAATATTGTTTGAACAATTGTTATCATAGTGTAAGAAACAAACATTGTTTCCTGGAGTTGTGTTTGATATCTTGCATTTTTGTTTCTACTCGTTCAAAAAACTTGTTAAAATCAATCTTTAGTATTTAGGAATTTTTTCAAATTGCACACAAATCTTTGTCTTGTGATGCTAGTTATCATAAATTGAATTCAATTTTTTTATGCTTTTATATTTTAAAAAAATATTAGAGATATTTTCTTGAAAAACTAAAGAGAGTCAAAAAAGACGAGAAGTAACAAGCTCTATATATTATTTATGATAGCAGAATCAATTTAGGAATTGAATAACATTTTGCTAAACTTGATCTGATGTCAATATCAGCTTGTTCATATAATGCGTAGCAATTTGATTGTGTTTGTTTACAAAAAAAAGAGCAACTGCAACTCTGATTGCTGCACTGAATTAACAAAAATTTGAACATCATTCTGACTTTGCACACAAAAATTTCAAGTTTTGATAACTATGATAGGTAGGATTCAAGATGAGATTCAGATTGAGCACAAGGAGAGCTCTCTACATACAAAGAATGTAAAATTCTATAGTTTCAAAAAATATAGATGTTATTGCAAAGAGAAAAAACACAAATTAGGCGTTTTCTAACATTCAACAAACTGTTGTTAGAACAATCTAAAACAGATCAAAATTTGGAAAGCCTAACATTGCCTCATGATTATATTTATCATCTTGTCATAGCTTATCATCTGCAACAGAATGTTATTTTTGAGAGACTAAATCAAATAATTTACTTAATATGTTGAACTAATATGATTCATCATAAAAATTTAAATATAAAATTATCAACATCGCAATAAATTTGATAATATTTTTTATTCAAATGAGATCAATTTCTTAATAATGTTTAAGTTAAGATAGAAACGGACTATTTTCTATAATTATTTTTGGAGATTTTGATCGCACAACTTATAATTTTATGCATATGATATTTAAACTAAGTATAGTGATGACAAGATGTTGATCTTTCAAAAAGTAAAGACTTCTTTTGATAGATAAACTAAGGTTTATATCAATTAGCTTGAATGAAATTATAATATAGAGCATGATGCAATAGCTGATTGATAACAAGAAGTGGAATCTAATTGAGCTTCCAAAGAATCAAAATTTGATTTATAGCAAATGACAGAACAAGTTAAAAAAATTAGCAGATGACTAGAATAAAATCTTCAAAAGCCAGGTTGATGTTTAGTAACTTTATACAAGACAAAAGTGTACATTAGAACAAAGTTTTCTCACTTACAGTAAAATATGGAATAATTAAATTGGTATGTGCACTTGATACGATATTTAGCTTCATTGATGACAAATGCTTATGTGATCCACATTTCTATGTTCAAATCATAATAAATCCAGTCATGATCTTTTGGTATATATATCATGTGGTTCTCAATTTCTTGCAACATGTATATTTCACATTATAATTCATGCTTCACTCCATGCGGATGCATGAGAAAAAGTGAAGTTCTTGCAAGAATAAAAATAATGATCAATGAATTTCTTCATATATCCCCTCCACTCTATTATACAAAGTTGCAATTCACTCACATTCCACCTCCCATGTGATTGGCTAAATAATTAATAGTTGAATATTTTTAAAACCTGCATAACTTATTATCATTAATCTATTCAAATTTTGCCAATAGATAGAAGTGTTGGAACAAGAAGTACTCCACCAAATTTTCCGATTTGGAAAATAACCACTCAAAACTCAATGAACAATGAAAGACTATAATATATTATAAATAATAAATTGTTAAATTTTAGATCCCGATTGATTATGAAATAGAGTATTCTATATATATATATATAATTTGTGAATAACTACTACCGAATACTCCACTTGCACAGCTTTCCTCCACGATGTTCAAGACGGGTTGAGTTTGTTGTTGTTTGGATCACCGTCAAATTTTGTTGACCGGCTGGCTTCTTCGTGCGCAGATGCGTGAAATAATAATCCATCGGTGTGCAGTTTTAATGGCTTAACCAGAGTTGCGTGGGAGCTGAGTTCCAACAGCCACGGGTAAAGTACAGTAAGCTCTGTCCTTTAGAGGTGATCGTGCGTGCCTTCGGTCCAGCACCGTCGAAGCAGAAAAGCCGCCAGTGAAGTCTACTGCAGTTCGCCCCATCCAGCTCAGCAAAAAGTTTCTGCGCACAGCTTCGGAGATATCACGAATTCCCATGATCCTACACTTGCAAATGATGAAAACCTTTCACAATCTTCTGAAAATTTCATTACTGCAAGTCAACGATGGGCTTAATGATCTTGATGTTGGGAGCTGAAATAAAATCACGATTCCATGTGTCCCGAGCGTGCGCTTTGCTTCTATGCGTATGGTTGAGATTTGCCCTCAGAAGAAAACCTCACAGATTGAGGACAAAGGAAGAATAAGTATGTGATATTTCCTGCTCCTATTTTTGCCTATGAGACCTTTTCTGTACGCCATGGTGATGATCGTTTTGGTCGACAGTAATACCTGCCGGTTCCCTTTGAGATTCTCTGCGGCGAGGGGAGGAGTAGAATTGCTTGTGATCCAACTCTCCAGTAATAAATACTTCTTGCGGATGAGTCCTGGAGCGAACGTGTAATGTCCTGATTAAGTCAGGTTCAATCTCCTGCCTTCAAAAATCTTCTCACCTAGTATAATGGACCTAGTCGGATAAGCTCCTCACGATCACAATGGGCCGGCCAGTTGACAAGTTAGAGGGTACTTCTGTTGACTACATCATGAATTCTTTTGCCAATTCCAAGCATCCAGATAACCCGCCTGAGGAGATCCATGATGATCGCAGATGGGTATAAATATCTAAATCTACGAGTCTTCATCTTGGTAAGCAGCTCATACTATTCGTGGTATCAATGCACCCAGAGAAAGAATTCTGGAGTCGGAACTCGTTTGTCAGCAACCCCTCTTCTCATGAAAGTAATTTTTTTCCGAGTCAACAAGTAATACATTGCTATGTGTACACTCAAGTCGCACATGACGGCGTCCACGATGCGAAAGCTCATCTACTCGGCTCCAACACACTTCGTCAAAAGGAAGTGTCACAGGCAACAGCTTCTTGTCGAGTATATTGTCGCGCATCGGTTGATAAGATTATTGACTCAATCCCACGAGTTCACAGGGGCGGGAAGAGTGGGCTCCAATATCGTGAACTTGATCGAAAAGTCTACTGAGTTCAATCATTAAATTTGGCTAAATCTGAAGTGAATACAGGCTTGAGAAAATAAGTCTCTTTCAGGTCAAAGCCAATTTTATTCTTCTCTTGACAATCCTTCTGCTGTTACATAGCAGCACGTTGCTGTTGTGAATGGGAAAACGAGTGTGTCTTCGTTCATCGGAGTTTCAATCATCGGGAGAAGCAATAAACATCCGAAAAAATAATATACACCGACAGAGACACGGCATTTTCAAAAGCAGAGATGATGTCGGGCATTTGACTCGCGGTGCAGCTCAAGTTTTGTATAAATGGCAGAATTAGGAAGTTTGGATCCTTGGACACCGAGGCATTCATGCAGACTCAGCAAGCTCTCGAAGGATCGAAGACAGAGACCCGACAGAAGGACGACAATGATGATGGTGATGATTCGGTTCACAGGTCTCCTCCTCTACCGCCTCTGAACCTCTTTCTTCCCCATCGTCATAAGTTCCAGAAGATATAATAAAGTTTCTAAAACAGTGACATCTCTCTCAACGCCATCAGCTTGTGAAATCATGACAATGGAGAATTTGTCCTCAGGAGTGTTAGAATTTTCAAAAAGCTCGCGCAGAGGAAACGAAGGTGAGTGAAGGAGGGAGGGAGGAAAAAGAATGTACAAAAACTGGTCTGACGCACAATTTAGTCATTTATGCCAACGAACATAGAGACCACGGTCCCAGAAAACATGAAAAATTTCAGGCCAACAAGAAACAGAGAAAATGGTGACCTGGAAATGTGTATTAAATGAGTGCAGATGAGGGCCGATTTACTGTCGCTTAACTTTCATGATGTGCTAGGGAAAAAATACAATCCGAGAATTAACTTACATACGATACGTCGACAACTTTCATAGTTCTCATCTACGCAGCAGAAATGAGGCCCGGAAAATAAGAGCGGAGATCCAGAGCTTTTTTGAACAAACGTGCAGTCTACAGCTAAATGTGGCCATTGTATGGTTGACCGATCAGCTAAAAGTGAAATATGCATGTGCATGCGCAGTTGCTGTTGAGATGAGCTGAGTTGGGGATGAGGGGACTCGGTTGGGAGTTGTTAAATGTGGTAGTTGCGACGGAACTGACAATAGGCTGTCTTAGATTTGTGCATGTTTCGTCCTATAATTTCACAAACCCACAAATATCTCTTGAAGTGTCCGTTTAGTGTCAAGCACTAAAATGTCACCATGTCTCAGTCACTTATATCGATAATTGATCTCCTCGCTGCCTACTTGTTTCTCGAAGAAGAAGATCATGTTAACAGGCAACTTAACGAAATCATATCCTACATGAAAGGATTTCGATATCACATGGCCTGTGAGACAGATGCAGAGGTTTTTCACTTATCTCTGCTTGGAAGTGTGACAACGTTTCCTCTCGTTCCTTGCAATATTAGCTAATGTGCGCTGCAAGAACTCCATCTGGATATCCTCGTACTTCCATCCGTCTTCCTTCCCTTCGTTCTTCCTTCCAGTTGTTCATGAGCTTGCATATTTACGAGCGAAGGTCATTTCTGGATCTATAATTAGGTTTGATGAACATTGGGGCTTGTCCTGGAGGTTCGTACAAAAAAACTGATTTTTAAGAAACATTCTACGAATAGTCGGACATACATATATATGGGTCATATATGGCCAAAACTTTTTAAACTTGTTCTAGCTTGACTTTTGTCATGCAGTCTCTAGAGGCTCGCATTAATATACATTAAAAAAAACGTCTTTGACGTTTCTTATAAGATGCTTTTCTAATTAGCTTTCAGTTGATTCTTAAACAATCTGTTTAAGCTTCATCATTGCATCAGATTTCAGCCCAACATATGACTCCTTTTTTGAAAGTGTCCATTAACTTCCATTGATCTTACTCAACGTGGAAGAGATGGACATCAGCGCATTTATCTTCTCTCAACCATCACAAGGTCCGACTATTCTACGAATAAACATCCACAAGCACGGATTTAGCGATGTGGTTTGGCTTCGTTAAGATTCTTACTTCTGAACGTGTGACATCAGATCCTCGACCTTGTCTGTATTGCTGCTTGCTGTGAAACGTGAATTTTGTTTCGTCTGAGATGGATAGTACTTAAAGTTTAAGATTCCTTTGTCTCTAGGCTTATTCCCAACACAAGGAGATGCTGTCATGCCGATTACCTGTATCGGAGTAGCCTCTTCTGCTTACTTTTGAACCTGGCTTAGCTTCCTCGTAGTGTGCTCGGAGAAAGTAAATCACTTGATGGACGCATGCTGCTGCAGAGGCTGGCAATATACTCCTCTGATTCTAACAAAAATGATTACCATCGTTGCGTCGCGAGAATGGGATCAGTAACAGAACAACAGTAAGAAACTGACGGAATGAAAAGGTTGTGTAGTTTAAGTATTTTCGCTTCTGGGTTCGGCAGAAACATGTGCAAAAGAATTTTTCTTCCTCAGGCATCTCTTCTGCCAGAAAATTTGTCGTAAAGCTGCCAATCATAAAGACGGAGTTGTGGTACAACCAAAGCAGGTTGGTAAATTCTTCACACGAGAGCTTCACCAGTCCAGTAGTGAAGAACTTTTGCTTAGCAATACAAGGGCAGCAGATTCATCTGTGCCATAGACTGCACCCAGTAATCTACTAAAGGCTTAAAGCTTCCACACTCGTTCCTACGTGTGTCCAGAGATCAAGTGGATACTGGACATTTTGGCTAATAAAATGCACTTCTCTCTCTGGTCCTGTCGGCCACACCAAGTCCTACCGTCAGAATGAGACGCTATCGCTGAGGGGAAGAGGTGAAAGACAGTTGTTGTACAACAGATGCATGCAAGGTTAACTCAGTTCACCGTTCACTTATTGCAATTCAGCTTCGTATGTGGTGGTTGAAGGCACTTCACACGTTTGCAGTTTTATAACTTGACGGACACATGAGAGCATTCATGTATGAATCCTCTCTTGTACTAGTCTCACTCAGTCCGGTTATGGTACAACGAAAAAGTGATCATCAGTACACTTGATTCAATTCTTGTAAGTGAGGTAAATCCACTCAAAACATTGTGAACATTCTCCTGAATCTCCCGAATGCCTTTGAAAGTACGTTCCCACCACTCTCGCTCAAAGTCTCTCCTACCTCTCAATAAATAAAGCCAAGGAGAGGAATGTGTTTCACACTATTCATCTTCTACCTAGAATGAAAATGTGAATCACATTCCTTCACTTCCAACATAAATAACAGCATCACGCTCGGCAATCTGCATGGAGTTTTGGTTCATCTCTCCATCTAGGGCAGTTCATGCAGTCAGGTCCTGACATCATGTTGTTCCCACCGAAGTATCTTCTACAAATACCTTGCAAAGATAGTGCTCATTCTTTGTATGCACTTTAGGTCTTGCTTGTCCATGTGCTCCACACAATATGTCAGCCCGTCAATCATTCTGATTCTTCGACAACCCATTGTCTCTTGTATGCTCTGTACATCTATTGTAATCCATAACTTGATGACAGAGGAACGGATGAGCCCTGCCCGGCAAATTGATTTACCCTAAACAATGATAAGTTTATCTCGCTTTCAGACCGAAAGCTCATTGTTATAACAAAACTATGCTAGCTCGCTCACCTCGAGACCCAACAGTACACTTCCCATGTTACAGAGTTACAAACTCTCCGCTTTGGAAGACAGAGCATGTTCACAAAAGTTAAGGCAATACTAGACACCATTACTGAAATCGGCCCATTTCAAGAATTCAAGAACAGTGATAGTTCGTACACTGTACAAGTGACCATCAGAGGAATGATGGCGGATATTTCCCACCTTTTGCAAATAGGACACTGATCATCCTCTCAAATGCGATAATTCAGTTGGGTACAATGAAACGATTCGTCATCCCCCAAACGAGTAAATTCTCACCCAAGATGACCACTGCCGTGGTGTGCTTTCCGGCTGGAGATGCACATCAACTCAACTCAGTGTACGGAAATGAATCTAACCAGGTTTGGTTAAATGTGTTTCTGTGTTATACTTGAAAAAATGTGACACACGACTGCAAGCATGACATGGTTGCTAATGCAGCGGTAACTCTGGTAAAGGCTGAGAATCAAAGACCTAGAAAAAGGAATGGAATTCAAGTGAGGTTCATTCCCCTAGTGACCATTCCTTCTCCTTTTTTTTAATTTACAAGGGATATCACACGCTTGTTGACGGTGGTAGTCCCAGGCTCTGTCTCACCACTTCTTCAGAAACCATGTCCTGGCTATTTGAGTGATGTGCTAGGCTGATGTCCTACCTTCGTCCATTAGACTGCTTGAAACGGAAAATTTCGTCGTGCTATGTTTATCAAAAGGCTCCAAATGTACATGGTCCACATGGCTAGGGCATCAGTTCAACACAGAAGTAAGTGCAGAGGAGTAACCTGAAGTTCTGAAAATTTGTTTTAGACCATCCTTGCTATATTTTACTTTTCCCTATGTCTTACTTTTCCTGCCCTCGCAACTGGGCCATTTCTTGGGTTGTGATATTTAACCCATCAGAATTTTGATGTGGACAACATGGTTTGATTAACAACCTTAGCTTGCTCTCAAAGAATGAAGAAAACCCTTCTGGAGTCTCGAGGACATCCTTTCTTAGGTTGTGAAAAACAACAAAAAGAGTCCTTTGAGATACTGAACAATCTCTGCGCCACCAAGTTTTGACGTTCCGTATACCCTATCGACAAATGAAATAGGAACCTGTTGGAAAAAATACAAATCATGTGTGCGTCTTGATTAGGATAGATCTTGATTTCGTCTGAGCACATGTCTTCTAGAGAATTCATTTCATGAAAGGTACAAAGCTGACAATCTTACGCCTGGATGTATCTATTTTGGGGAAACAGAAATCATTCATCATATAAGTTCATGCATTTATGCATCTTAATACGAGGGCCAAATAGGCACTACGGAAACTTACCTCAGCGATATAATAGCCTTTGCGTGTTGCACGCACGATCATTTCCATCTGGAAAACGTAGCCTTTGCTGACACAGGATTTGACAAGTTCCTCAAGAACAGGCTTTCTGTAGAGTCTGAAATAAACATCAGGTTTCAGAACATAACGGCTAACCATCGGGTGCGATGAACTCATACAACATGTGAAACAATGTATGGATAAAAAGCTGTAGTTCAAAGAGATATTAGCCTGGTCAAGATGACTTCGTTATCGATACTCAGCTTGTAAGTGTTGAAAGAGTAGTCCCTAAACCCTAAACCCACAAGAAATGCTGCAACTAAATCAGCATTCGCAAAATTATACAGAGTTACTAGAACTAAGACTTCAATCTTCTAGTCCATGCAGCCTGAATTCAATTCCTTCCAACAATTCAAGTGTTACAATCTAGAGATGTCTTAGAATGTGCACAAACCTGAAAGAACCCGTCAGATCAGAAACATGTGGCCATAGTAGAGTGTGAGCCAGCACATTTGCTCCGCGACTAGTTAATTTACGGCGCAGATCCCAGCCGTGCACCCCACCCCCTTTCAAGTAACGAGTCCCAGTGACGATGTCTGCATTTGTGTCCAGCTGCTTCCTGCATGTGCAAAGCTAACACATAGTTTACCATCCTTGCTTTTAATTTATAAATATTATTGTTGAACAGCAGTTTTTCGAATTCTCTGCAATTTAATTAGATATTTATCATCACAAATTAGTGTCATGTCTGCAGTAAGTGAAAAGAGAAAATCTCAATGTCCTACTCTCAAGATCCAGAGTTAAAAAAAATTCTTTAATTTTCCAATTGCAGATGTCCCTTGGCAGAACTAACACAGGCTATAAGCACTTTCCTTGCTTCACAAAGTTTTGCGCTCTATTGACATATTATTGCTTCAAACTACAACTATTGACGTCGCCTGAAGGCGATCTTTCTGCACTATGGACCTTTCAGTCCTTCGAGTGCATATATATACTACATGACCAACAGATTGTGAAACTTGAGTTTTGAACTTTGTTAGATGTCCACTAGACAAAAAGGCAGAGTGGGCATCTCAGTGTACGTTTGGTATTGTGTAATTTTCAGCAGCTGAATTTCAAATAAAAAAACAAAATGTTAGACCTGTAGCATCATACTCAAAAATTAGAAGCTGCTTGGCTTTTGTAAAAAGGCCTACTTCCATGAAAATGCGTCTGAGACTATAACATACCTGATGAAGCTTGGTATATACTTGGGCTGCACAGAAATTTTTCAGACGGGCATTCAATGAATGGCATTTAAGCAAAATCAGACGTAAATCTAATTCTGTTCAGAGAAGGAAACACAAAGTCCCTCATTATATCCTATCAGGCGAATCAGTAATATCTTCTCAAGATTCTCCTTTTTGCGGCTGCGTGCAAATAAAAATTCATCTGAGTTTGCAGTTCATGTACTGTGAAGTAGAACAAAATCTCTAACAAAGCAATTCATATCGAGTTCAACTGAGAGATACAAGAATTTGAGAAGAGATTTGGAACTCACGTGGTGAGAAAGATCCGCATCCATGATGAAGATATAATCACCCGCAGCATGTTGTAATCCATGTACATAAGCGGTTCCTATACAGTGTTGACAAATCTTATAAATCTCTAGTGTTCATCTAATATCAATGACTCTTCAAAACACTGTGATCGTACAAGCTCTCACCTGAACTACGGCAGTTTTCTTAAAATTTTACTCAAAAAGAAATTCCTGCTATTAAGTCCAAATAAGAGTATTCATCTTTTCATTTACCTAGACCCAACTTAGCTGCCCTCGGCCTTAGAAGCTGCACAATGACAAGGTATGGAATTAGTTTTATATAAAACTTAACTACGTGAACTCAAACCACGCATAAAACACTGCGAACAATATTCTACAGATTTGGTTGATCACTTACAATTTTATGGTCTCCGTATATTTGTTGAAGCTGTTTTATCACATCCTGCGTCCCATCAGGACTTGCATCATCTACGATAATCACTTCAAAATCCACGTCTCTGCCAAAAGACAGATGGTAAGCTGTTGGGTGTGATGAACAGCCAGTGCGGAAGGCTGATGGCTACTGCTACCAGACGAGGTAAATGGCAATCGATTCACAGGTTTATCCAACAACAAAAAGTACTACAGACCAAAGGAAAGAGGGGTCAAATTTAAAATTTTAACACGAGGTTGGAGCTCATTGTTCCCATTTTGGCCAACAGTTGAGAAGCTGCGAAGATATCGTGTAACAGAGAGAAAGATAATTACAAGTCGTTCAAAGTTTTGAAGAGTAGATAGCACAGAAGCGCGATGTTTAGACGTTCATTGTAGGTGGGAATTAAGATGCTGTATAGACGTCTCGGAGGACTGCTGTCCTTCTCCATTTGTGCCTGCAGAAAAACATCACAAATTTGAGCTCAAATATACCTGGATCGCAGGCTCTGTGGGGTGAAAGAGATTTGCGATCCACTAGAGTTTGGTCTCGTCCTGTCTGGCGTGGTCTAGTCTAGAATTTTTTGTCATGACATGCCGATCCGACGATCGTTCCATGCACTTCTGAAAATTCGGTGGGGACGGACGCAGGAAGACGAGGTGAGGCAAGCGACGGAAAGGGCTCCTGTGGGGTTCAGCGGGAATTTTAATCCTGTGCGAGGGCCGGTCCAGTCTGAAAAGCAGAGCAGGATTGTGGAGCACTGATTCCAGGCCGAAGACGGCATCGTCGCCGTGTAAGCATCTCGCCATCACGCCCTAAAGGCTCAACAGTCACAACGACGAAGGCACTCAACAGCTACACAAAGCTCCACGGGGTGAGAGAGGAGCTCGATACGCGTCGCAGAAGTCCGCAAAATGACGAGAAAGAAAAGCACTCTCACCGTTCTGCCGCGTCTCCAAGTTCTTTCTCAAGTATACAGATTGGACGATCTTCGCCCTACCATGCGGGATTGATGTGTTCGGGTTCATATGCGCTCGCTCCGTTCTCTGGCAGCTTCGGGAATTTCACTCTACATTTTCGTTCCGACTTTGCTTTCCAGCCCAGAGTGGTCTTGGCGAGGGTTTGCGTTTGTACACGGCCCAGAGCTTCGGGCACATGTTTTGGAGGAGAGTGGCAAATTGGTCGTTCTTATTTGAGTTGCCAGTGCGGTTTCCGGCGATCGTCCGCCTTTCCTACTCTTGAGTTGACGTGTCGCGGAGCATCAAGATCCGTCCTCGTTGAGTGTTCCGAATGTGTCCAGTTCTAGTTTGCATCAAGAAGTATGCGATCGATGATCAGCAAGTTGTGATGTTTGTTTCTGGAGCCGGGATAAGAGTGAAAATATGTTTTTTCTTGATTATCAATTATTCTGTGTCTGTTCAAAACTCCATGATATATCATTTGTGCATTATATTAATTAGAACATGAATTAATGAATAAAAAATTAATTAAGCATGCATTATTAATAAATTATTTTTTGAATAATGATTGCTATGAGTGATAATCATATTCTTCAATGGCCGTCGGAAAACAGGAGAGAAGTTTGAAGATTGAACGAGTTACAACTTTAATAGAGTGATAAGCTACCCAAACATTTATACTTTTGATTTTTTACATTTTTTGAAATAGGGTTTTCATCCGTTAAAATATATTGAAAAAATAACCAAGTTTTAAATTTGTTGGTTTTATATTTATGTTTATATGTTTAAAGTTTTTATACCGATTGTGTATCGTGATTTTTTTTATTTAATTAATTATCAGTTTTATAAACACAGCACCAAATCTTAATATGTTTTACGAATTAGGCTAGTCCATCTCTCGTGCACAACTTTTATCAAAGGTGTTATTTTATATTTCTTTTGCTTGATTTGCAAATTATGCTGCTGATATGTGCATTGAAATTTTAGAATTTGGGAATTGTCATTGTGTGTAGGCCAAGATTTGACCGTAAGACAATGAAAGCCCATTGGACTATACCTATAAATTTTTCATGGTGTACTAGATATATTTTTGCTTCTGGAGGTTGACTTGAATAGAGAGCATCAAAGAACATTTTTATCTAACATCTACAGTAAAATGACTACTTTTGAAATCCATGTAAACTAGTTCCATGGATGCATCAATACAAATTTGTAGACGAATGTTAACCTAGAAGTTAGCATCACAATGAGGAGGAGAGGTTATGGGCCTCCATGAATTTCGTTCTCTTTCACATATTGACTGGCGTTGAGCTTGGACGCGCACATCTCGATACAAGTATGTACTTCCCATCTTTTCTCCCAAGTTCGTCTCGCGTGCGTCCTCTTTTCCAAAGACGTGAAAAATGAACTCTGGATCCGTATCGATATTCGGGACAACATGAGCATGTCCCATTGCCTGCTTGCTCTGCTGGCAGGGTGCTCACAATGTACTGAGGCTTGCGTCCCTGCCACTTTGTAGACATAAGTGATATCAAAGGAGTGAGCGGTCGTGTACATGTCTGTTAATGCTGAGCACCTTCACCCAGAAACCCTTTCTGCGTCGTCCTCGAGGCCTTCGTACACAAAGCCATCCTTCTCAAACTTGGAATCGATCGTCACATTATCCATACATACGGTGCCGGCTATTCGGAGCCGATTGAATCTCCTGTGGCAACTATGGCCTGACAATATAATGTTCGTCAGCGAGATGAGAAGGACAAAGGATCGTGTTAATATTGTAAGGTGGTTCTCAACCAAGTAAAGATCTCGTCTCCTTTCATTCTGACAAAGATGGCAACCAGAACAATTGGAGCAATATGGACTTAGGAAAACGAAAGTGAAAGTCCTGTTCATGTGAGATATAATTTACCGCGGGCAAGAGACATTGTTTGGATGAGCAACTTATGACAAGTAGTCGTCCCTATGACTGCTTGACATGTTTTTTTCTGCCACATTCACGATCTCATTCAAGAACCACGGACGGGGCAACAGCTCATTGAATTCTCGCCGATAAGGTTCCTGTCAATTACTTGAAAGCATATATAATATATGCTACTATTTAATCTTCAAAAATTATATCGTATTTCTAGAAATTCTGATAATTGATAACGAATAATTATAAATTGGTTTAAAGAGTACATATATAACTTTCATTTATACAATATGTGCAAGTTTGGTCACTAAGGGTTGATTAAGAATACTTTTTCCTTATCTGAAACATTTCTATACGATCCAAATGTTTTTACTGGGTACTAATCATCTTTGTGAATCTCAGAGTCATGATTGAAACTAGCATTGTGGCAAGGATTAACTCACTCTAATATGCTTACATTAGGCACTATTGATTCAAAAAAGTTTTCATTGATTTTGCATATTTGTAGAAATTTCTTCGTTCTCATATCTCTTCAATTTTTTCTTTACATAATTATATTGATAAAAAATTAAATCATTATTATTTCAAATAAATAAATAAATTATTCTGTGTCCAGTGATTTTCCTCAATTCAATTTTCAAAAAAATCCGATTAAGATAGTCTTTAAATGGGTGAGTATCAAAAATAAAATTTAAAAAAATTTAGAAAAAATAAAAAATGTAATGAATACAGAAATATTTGCTAGCATAAATCTACAAAAAAATTTCTTGAATTTTTACAATCATTCATGCTATCAAATTTGAAGATACTTTCATGAATCTTATCACACAAATATGATGATAATGCTGAAATATTAGGAAAAAAAAATTAGATGACTTTAAGTACGATGAACATCATCTTATCTTCTTCTTTATAAATGCTAGGTTAAATACTTATGTAAACTGTGATTGAATTTAGAATAAAACGAGTTTGAAAAAAATCATCGTTAGTGATACACATGATTGTTATCTACTTCAAAGATTATTATGAAGATTTAACTCCTCTTTTAAAATATTTCTTCTTTATTTCCAGTTTAAGTATATTCATATTGTTGTATGAAAGTACAATTACCTGCATGTTCATGTGTCATGACGATGTAACATTAGAATCACAACTTAAAACATTATAAATTACATATTTGATTATGAAAATAAATATAAAAGCGTGGAATTAAATTTTTTAACTGTCATTTGCAACTTTGAAATTTTGAAAAGCTAAATACAAAATACAGTAGTATAATTTTTCTGTTGTTATATCAAAACAATTTATCTATAAAATTATAGTTTACGAAGCTTGCAAATTTTTTATAAATCTTCAAAAACAATTACATTTCATTTCTTTGCATAAATGATTACTCTCAAGTAATAAATTGAACAATTTTATTGCACAACACAATAAACATGTGAGAAACAAGTTACAAAATTTTGTTTAGATATCACAAAGTAGCTTAAATGAAAGTCTTTTAATCATTCAGTAGCCAAGATCGGAATCAATTTTACTCTGGATGCATCCATGATAGTGTCTAACTGTTTTTTTTTTCCAAAATACATTGCCTAAAAGAAATGTACTAATTCTAAAACTAAATTAGCAAATTATAGTAAAGAAGTGAAATATATAATGAAGATATCTATGACATTGCAAGGTGCTAACACAATGACAAGATGAAAATTATTACCTTCGTATGCAATAATACAGTCCACATGTTAAAAAAAAAAACTCAAGTTTCACTATGTAAAAATAAGAATAATTCAACGTCATGTTGTGACAAAACTACCATGATAATTCTCTTGATATAATGACGCGATGATTGGTGATACCACCATATACAATCGGCCAGTGCATGTATCATAATATATGTCACACAGAGTAAAAACAAAGATAATTTCATGTCATGTTGTGACAGATTCACCCAAAAAATTCTCTTCCCGTGTGTCTTTCATGTTGTTTTCCATGACGATGATATGTTAGAATACCAAAAAATTCTCTTCACTTGTGTATTCCCTGTTGTTTCTCATAACTATGGTATGTTAGGTGAGCTTAATTTGCTGCTTACTGTAAAAATCTTAAGAGCCATAAATTCATCATATAGCAATAAATCTGAGACGGATTCTTCGACTTTTTTATTGAAATGGACATAAATTAACAGAGAAGTGAATGGGCCAAGAAAAAATATGCTGAACATGTACCATGGGGTATGCCCATCCTTCCTGCGACCAAACTGGCTGATTGATTGATCACAAAGGTCACATCGGCCACTCAAAACTGTCTCAAAACTATCTCACGCTAAGTTGGGGTAAAGAGCAGGACCGAGGGTCCTGTCATCATTAACACATCTACATCACACGTGTCCTCCTTCGAATATTTCAGTTTCATATAAGACGACGTGTCAGCCGTGCAGACAGTTTATGAGCATATTCCAGACACACCAGTGCGTGCATTTCGCCTTCTCCACGGCACTCCTCGACGACACAACGCCGAGAAGTCAAAAGATCTCGATTCTGAGGGACTTCTCAGAATATACCGGCGGCCTCCATCGGCAGTCGCTTTCTCGAGCGAGGTGGGAGGTCCGAATTGCGGATTCCATTTGCTCGACACATGCGGGAAAATGCCGTCGATGCGACACCTCACAAACCTGATTCCGCATCCGGTGATGATCGCCGTGTTTTTGAAGTTCGGAGAGATCATCGGCGCAAGTTGTGGCCCCAAAACGCAAGGCTGGTTGCGTCATTCTAGTGCTCTTAGCTAATCCTTGTTTTTTCCCGGTTCATAGACATTCATCGATAGATGAGCCAAGTTTCGGGGCAGTTGGGTTCTGATATTCACATGTTTATCATACCAAACAGAGAGAAGTGTTTTGGTTCGTACGTTCAGCATGTTGGGCCTGAAGTTTTTTGAGTATGTCCCTCACAGCCTCCCAATAACCAGACTTCGAATGTATTTGCATTTGATATGATGCCACCCCACGTCAGAAAACGTATCCATCATTCACAATGGAAGGGCCTCAAATTCGAACTGGATTTCGTGTAAATCATAATGTGAATATTGTGACTTATATTACATTGCGTGTACACATAGAAAATTTATACACAGCCTATCTGTATAACTTTACAGCGTGAATGAAGTTAACAATCACGGCACACATATCTTACGACGTGTTAAGAGTAAATTACTATCCTTGAAAAAAATCGTCCGAAAGAGCGTGACGTATGGATCAAAGCAGGAATGAAGAATGAAAAACACTCAAGGGTTCAATGTTTGCGAGAGAAACGTGCTCCTATTTAATCACGAGGGCTCACGAGCATGGGTCCCATCCTTTCAGGGGGGGAAATGTTCACGACCATGACAGCGCGCGCACGCTCCGCCTCACGTGACGCACCATCGACAGCAGAGGCAGATAACCGCAAAGTAACATGCGTGAGACGTTTGCGGCTGACAGGAATGGGAATGGAATCGGGATCGCAGCAGAGAACCGAGGGTGGTGTCGAGAAAAAGTCGCCGGGAAGTCTGACCGGGAAGTGCAGAGATGCCGCGGCCGATGTGTCGTTCCACGCGAAGGAGCATGCGGTGACGGAGCGAGGAGCGAGCGAGTAGTATTTGGAAGGCAGGAGTGGAGTGTGGAATATGGCGGAGGAAAAGTGACCTTGAATTAGAGATCGGGTGCCTTTTGGCTTTTGATAGTCTGTGTGGATCGCAGTCCCGGTACCCTTCTTCCAGATCGGGCACTTTGGATCTGTGAAAGAGGCCGATCGCGCCCCTCCAGGCACTGATCATCGCCACTACTCGTAGGTGCCGAAAGCTTCGAGGCTCTGAAGGGCGAGCGAGAGATACAGAGCGAGACATCGTGTTCGCTCTGAATTCGGGCTCTGTTGTCATCGGTATGTCATTCGACGGCCCCCGCTGGACTTGGGTTGCTTGGTGATATTTGTGTGATGTGTCGTGTCCCCCGCTTCACTTGCTGAGATTGAAGTGCCCTCGTCTTGGATGCGTCCCAGTGCTCAACTGCGGTTGTAATGCTGCATGGGGTTTGGTGATCGGTGATTGAATCGATAGATGCCATCACCTGCGGACATAGAGGATTTTAACAGCTGAGCTTTGGGATCAATTTCTAGGCCTTTGCCTGCCAGAGGCCAGCTTTTGATCGTGTTTCCTCTTCCTTTTACATCGCAGACAAGTTGGAGTTAAGATGGTGAGCTTTGAAGTGATCGAGCAGCAAACCAAGCCTTTCGATGGCCAAAAGCCCGGTACATCTGGTCTTCGAAAGAAGGTTTGTTACTCCTCTTTATCAATTATTTTCTTTCAAGGATTCATTCTAGCTTTGCTCTTGCGAAGTCTCCAGTTTCTGATCTCGCAGCGAATCTACCTTTATGACTCTGCCATGCAAACCGCAGATCTGGTATCAGCTTAGTTTGCGCGAGCTGGGTACCTAGCTTCATCGTCAGGGGGAGTGGTTGCACTTTTCTTTTATACGAAATTGCTTTCTTGTCTAGATGAAGTCGCTACCGCGGACTCTGATTCAGTCGAGGTTCTTGATTGTCGTGGGTATTGTGATCAATTTTACTTACTCCGACAATCTCATGCGAATATGCCTGACAGGTTAAGGTGTTCCAACAAGAGCACTATCTCGCAAATTTTGTGCAGTCCTCTTTCAATGCTCTGCCTGCTGACAGGGTGAAAGGTGAGACGTTTGTCACATTGTTAACTTTTCCGAGGATGGGTTTCTGGACAGTGTCTTTCGGTTGTACATCAAATCAATATATATTAGACACATAAGGGTGTCAAAAGTTGATGTCAGATGTAGTTACTAGTAACATGCAGGTAGCCTTTCCAGTAGTTGGGCCTGGACACTTTTAGCTCTGCACCAATACCGAGATCCGCCAATGAGCTGATCCAGTAGTGGCAGCATTGGTGTTTTCATTCTACACAGTGTCCCTTGAAGATGCCAAGGATGACCATCCGGAATTGAAAGTAGTTTGGCGGACTATGGCGGGAGAGTTTGATACTTTATTGCTGTAATTGGTCCTTAAAATTTGCATCGCAAACTGCGAAACTTCGGAGTAGAGTCACCTGAAGGTTACTGACTTTAAAGTGTTCACTGATGAGCATGCGCTTTGTTCAGGTTCCACGATTGTGGTATCAGGAGACGGACGATATTACTCAAAGGATGCGATCCAGGTAAGAAATCTTTGCCTCATCATTGAGGTGTATCTACGAAACATATTTTCTTGCCTGTCTGTTTCTGTCCGAGACCTGCTGACTGTATCGGAATTGCAGATCATCATTAGGATTGCAGCTGCAAACGGCGTTGCCCAAGTTTGGGTCGGCCAAGATGGACTCCTGTCTACACCTGCCGTGTCCGGTATCATTCGTGACCGTGTTGGTTCTAAGGTGCGGAGTCTTTTCGTAAATTTGGTTCTTTGTAAACCTTTGTCCAGTTTAGTTTCATTCCTATGTCATTTACTGCAGGTGCCCGTGAGAAGACAATAATTGTTGTTTGACAACTGATGAGAGCGGGGATGTTTTCTTTCAGGGTGAGAAGGCGTATGGAGGTTTCATTCTTACTGCCAGCCATAATGCAGGCGGGCCTGATGAAGTAAGCTGAAACAAACTTCATTAGTTGTACCTATAGGCTCTGTCACGATTGTCTTGCAAGCCCCAATTTTTAGTATTGTGTGTACGCTTATTCTCGAACGTCAACTAATATCGTAGTGTATGGCCTTGTTATTCCTCTTCTATTTGCTCTCGTGTTTCATTCTTGACTGGTTCCTTGGGAATGTCTAGGACTTCGGAATCAAATACAATACTGAGAACGGTGGTCCAGCTCTGGAAGCACTGACCGACCAGATCTACGAGAATACCAAGACTATCACGACCTACCTCATCGCGGAGGGAATTCCCGATGTAAGACAGTTGCAATTTGTTTTTTTAAGGTGCCAGTTTCCAAGTTGTTATCGCCTCTGCGCAATAGACTTGAGAAACCAATGGGAATATGTTATTTGAATAGCAGGTCGACATTCATCTAAGAAGCAGCAAACAGAATTAAAAAAATTATAGTAGAATTACTCGTGTGATTATGTAGAGAAAGCTAGAGAGTAAGGTATATACGCGTCTCACTGGATTGGCCATTTTTACGGATCCACATTCCTGCCTTCTTCCGGTGGTCGTTGTACACTTGATGATTCCTTCAGTGCATCACGTAGGGTCCAGTTCTGTCCTGTCCACGTAACATAATGTCGAGAATTCCTTTCAACTTGATTCTGTGCAGATTGATATTCATAAGATCGCTACATCAAGTTTCAGTGGCCCGAGTGGACCCTTCAGCGTTGAGGTTTTTGATGCCACCGAAGACTACGTGAAAATGATGAAGTGAGTAACAACCTTAATTACCGACCTGTTAGATGTTATGTTAACTATATCTCTTGTTTGGAAGGCGAGACATTGTTGTCGTATATTGGTTATGACGCTGAGTTGGTGTGTCGCAATGTGCAGACAAATTTTCGATTTTGAGGCCATCAGCCGTCTGCTGGCAAGGCCAGACTTCACTTTTTGGTACATTTACAAACCATGACGTGTGTCTGACTGGCCTCTGTGGATAAGAGTTAACAGTCAAGCAAGTCGAAGAGAATCAAACGCACAGAAGAGCAAAATAGATAGAATATCACTTATATTAAGTGGCGTCATAGATATATTTATTGTAACTCTGAGAGTGATTTGTTCGCCCTTGCGTTTGTCCTCATCATATGCCATGATGTGATTTCAATCCCAGTAGCCCGAACTATAGTATCATTGTAGCTTGTTGACCAAGCCATGCATTCCATGTCAAATGAGAATGGTATGATGTCTGTCTTCCTTACGTCTTTGCTGCTTTCGACAGCTATGATGCTCTCCATGGTGTTGCGGGAGTGTATGCTAAGAGGATTTTTCTTCAGGAGTTGGGGGCCCAAGAGAGTTCACTTCTGAATTGCACACCGAAGGTAATGCGAAGAGCTAGAAGCAAATAAGAAGTTTGAAGTCGCAAGTGGTTTCGAGATCTCTATCTCTGTATTTTCTGCATATCAAATGTTTATTTTTAAGGCAATACACGTAGTCTCGACCTCAACTTGGCAGATCATTTGCACATGTATCGAATACCAACGTGCTTCTCTCGACTTACACCCGTGTGCAAGTGGGCAGCAGCTATTTTCTCTCCTGTATTTCTCATGTGATGAAATGACAATTTTCCAGGAGGACTTTGGTGGAGGTCATCCAGATCCCAACTTGACCTATGCGAAACAGTTAGTTAAGACCATGGGCCTTGGTAGTCCAGTACCCGAAGAGATTCCTGAATTTGGAGCAGCAGCCGACGGTGATGCTGACAGGAACATGATCCTGGGGAAGAAGTGAGTCTATCGTGTTTCTTTGGTTCACTCTGTACTTTCTGTGGACATGTATATCTTGTTTGTCAATTCTTTGCTTAGTCTCACTGCTCCGTTTCTTACTTTTGGAACAGATTCTTCGTGACTCCTTCAGATTCCGTCGCCATCATTGCTGCTAATGCTGTTGGTGCCATCCCATACTTCCGAAATGGACTCAAGGGAGTGGCAAGGTACTGATTTACGCAGCCACCCATTGCATCCGCGTGATTAGATTTCTTGACTTTCCACGCCTGGATTTGATCATATCACATTTTGCGCCGTAATTTTAAAGTTTCTTACATTTGAATGAGGCTGTCGACCACCGCTCGAACCTTCATACTTCTTACGGAAATTAGTTAGCCTTTGTATTATGTATCTTGGCTTCAATACCCGACATTCATTTTGCTATCAAATAGACGTGTATGACATTTTTCTGATTGTGACAGCCATTGCCTGTAATTTTTTTAGGAGTATGCCAACATCAGCCGCTCTCGATGTTGTTGCTAAAGGTCTTGGCCTCAGGCAGTTCGAGGTAACTTTGCGCCTCAAAGAAACGGTTCCCTTCATCTGAATCTTTTCTTTGTTTTGCACCGAAGTAGTCTGATGGTAAAAAGTGCTAACCAGGTATCCTCTTTTCCACGCTCAGGTGCCTACAGGCTGGAAGTTTTTTGGTAACCTTATGGACGCTGGGATGTGTTCCATTTGCGGTGAAGAGAGCTTTGGAACAGGATCTGATCACATCAGAGAGAAGGATGGTATTTGGGCTGTTCTAGCCTGGTTATCAATTTTGGCTTACAGGAACAGGGATGTCGCTGCAGATGACAAGTTAGTGACTGTAGAGGATATTGTGACACTACATTGGGGTATTTACGGACGTCACTACTACACTCGATACGATTACGAAGTAAGTCGTTCATCACTCAAGCCGTAAAAGTTTAACTGAGGACACGGCGCTGTATGTTGTAATTTTTGCAGCTTTTCGCACAAGTCCTGAATCGTGTGACGGATATCTGCCAGGCGATAGTTCTGACGTTGTGTTGCTATTCAGAATGTCGATGCAGGTGCTGCGAAAAACCTGATGAGTCATTTGGTGAAGCTTCAGTCGAATTTGACTGCCGTTAACAAGTGAGCTGTTAAATCAACCTGGCTCAAATGTTCTTGACATAGCTGCTGCCTATTCTTCCAGAAGCCCTGACGCAAATGTTACATTCGGGTTTGTTGTGTTAAAATTTCGAACTGACATGTTGGTATTTTCAGAATCATAAAAGAAACCAGGCCCGAGGTATCAGGGGTCAAGAGCGGAGATGAATTTGAGTACAAGGACCCCGTTGATGGTTCTGTGTCTAGCCACCAAGGCATCCGGTTCCTTTTCAAGGACGGTTCCAGGCTGGTGAGACTTCATGCTTCAAGTAGAACCTAAGTTTTATCTTTTCTCAGTGGTTTGTCGAAGATGACGTTGATGAACTTATGTGTATTTTATGAATATTAAGGATTTTTTGCCCACTTTCTGTGTAGGTGTTCCGTTTGTCTGGAACTGGTTCCGTGGGAGCTACCATCCGACTCTATATTGAACAGTACCAATCAGACAAATCAAAGACTGGTGCAGATGCATCGGAAACTTTGGCTCCTCTTGTATGTTTTCCTTACACCCAAATTCGATTCTAAGCTGAGAGTATGTCAAGTTGAAATGTAACTAGCTCTGTAAGTGGCGTTGAAGATATGAAACGGAGGCAACTAATACACACTGATAATTGGTGGGTGAACAGGTCGATGTTGCTCTAGTCCTTTCCAAGATGGAAGAGTTTACTGGTCGCTCCGCGCCTACGGTCATCACCTAGAGCGTTGTAAATGTATCACACTTCTTTGAGGTATAGGTAGAAGGAGAACTGAGGGCGCTGCAGCCGGTGAGGCAAGCCGATTTTGAATCCTTTTACCTACAGTGGGCACCATTCTGACGAATTGGCTACTGCATTTGTTGCACATAGAATGGTGGAATGTGCCGTGAGTGGCACAATAGCGTTCCATGTGTCGATTTTAGCCCAGAAGTTGGAAATGTCTTGCCGTTTCAATTCAGAGTAGCAGTTCCAGGTAGCTACTTGAGTCAGGAAATAAATGTGTCAACCTCGTGTATCTGATTGGTGGCTTGCGAAGGATGTATACACACCATTCAATTGGGGACTTTTTCCTGAAAAGCCTGACACTGAGTTCCGGAAGCTGTAGCTGGTGGTCACAGCGGAAAGTTTTAAATGCTTCTCTCACCATAATTTTTTGGTATGTAAATTCAGGATGTGGAAGAGATAATTCAGTCCTCAAAGTTATTGAAACATGTCTTCCTTTTGAGAAAGCTTCAGTGAATATCACTCCTTGTATTTGAAAGTAGAATGCACTTTGTTTTAAGGCTCCCTTGGACGTAACTTTCTGTGGTCTTGAGTCTTTGGGACCTATCTTGGTTTAACTCGGAGGATATTTGTAAAGAAAGATCAATTCGGTAATTCTTCAATCTTTGCAATTACAATGCTAAATGAACCAAACACAATACTAAAATAATAGTTAATCTCACAAACAAAGACGAATTGGTAGATGAAAAATAAAAGTTTTTATGTAAGGGAAAATAACGTTAATAATTGCAATTCTAGCATGAACATATTTTTGTCACTATTTTTTGTTCGATGAATTGACGATAATGATTTTGAGCGTTTGGAACTACTTTGCAGGAATGAAAGAAAGTTTTGTCACATTGGTTCTTTCTTTGCACCCCCAGTTGCTCGTACCGCGTCACGTATCTACTATCTTTTTACTTTACTCTACTTTCCTGCGCATTTGCACTCCCGACTTGCCCAAACCGGACTCGTGGCTGTGTATAAAGTGCGTGCACCCTTTTCGCCATGACAGGGACTCATAGAAATCTCCTGCGCTAATTCACTCCCCACCTCGATTACCTTCCCTTCGAGTCTACAATTGTTTTGCAACTATGGGCGTGGGCGGAGGCTCCTCGTCTTTATAACGTATGGTGGTACATTGGGCCAGATTAATTCTAGCAAATCTGGGGATCTAAAAATAGAAAGCGAGATTTTATGAGACCTGCCGTACACCCATAGTACATATAAATAAAAAAGAAATCGATGAAAAATGTTTGACCACTCTTGCTATATCAAACTTAGACGTGAGCGACATCGATGCAGGGCTGTACGCTAATTATGAAACTTAAATAGAGTGAAATCTGGTTCTTTGATGCACTTAGAGAACCTCTTCTCTCTAGATCGCCAAAAATTATCATAAATTTTCAGGGGGAACTTGAGTTATTCGAATTTCCTCGAAAGAACAAATATCCATATTGTGGAACAATCTTGTTAGTCTGAAGCATGTATATGTATCGATCCACGCTATTATCAGATCCTTGTATATTCTAAATTTTTTTTGTGCTCATATTAGCTTCGCATCATAAACAGAGACGGTTGATCATGTGTTCTCCGATTTTATGTCATTTATGATGGTCTTGAAATCAATAATGCTCTCTTCCTGAATTCAAGAGATCATAAAATATGAAGAAGAGGGCTTATTCTCTTAGATTAAAGTATATATTCTATATTTTCCGATGTCGAATAACTAGCTCGCGTGGCCTAATGGATAAGGCATCTGACTTCTAATCAGGGGATTGTGGGTTCGAGTCCCACCGTGAGTGCTTTTGCTCTTGTCTTATATTTCGGTCACCTCTTTTCTCCTGGCGATTGTTACTAGATTGTGAGTGCTTTTGCTCTTGTCTTATATTTCGGTCACCTCTTTTCTCCTGGCGATTGTTACTAGATTGTGAGTGCTTTTGCTCTTTTCTTATATTTCGGTCACCTCTTTTCTCCTGGCGATTGTTCCTAGATTGCGAAAGAGCTAAAATCTATGAATTGCCAGCTTCTGCACAGGGGGCGATACCTGAATCGTGAATCCTCTTGAACTTCCATGTTCCCCGGGGGCGATACCTGCCTGAATCGTAAATGCTCTTGCCAAAACAAATCTACACTTCGACACATTTTACTTCCATGTTACCCTGCCCCTTCTCCCAGCGATTCGTCCTGGATTCCCCTAGCTTCAAACTTTGCATTCAAAGCTTGCGTCGGGCGATTGATTCACGAAATTTCTTCTATGCGTTTCCGTTTCCTCAGTCCCGAAGCCTACGATTTGTGTGGGATGACATTTGTCACCCAAATTATTCACAAATTCTGTAATTCTTTTGCCGTCCGGGGAGTACACGCGAGGGAAGGAATTCTCTGAGTGTTGTGGGACCGGTTAGTCACAGCCAAGAGTGGCTGATTAGCGATTCGGTACTGTCTTATGTCAGTACCGAAAGCATCACGGTGACGATCTGGTGAGCAGGCCTGATGACATAAGCCTTGCTCACCAGATCGTTACCGTGATGTATCCATCACACGGTGCGCAATTTGCAGAACATGTCAACGTATGGCGATTCTGTATTCTCTGCTCCACACTCCTAGAGCACTTTCCTGTTGCTTGTGTTTCCCACCGTCAGAAATTACAGATTGTGAGTTGGTATCAGTGCGTGTCCCGACGCAACTCTCCATCAGCATCGGAGATCGGATTTTAGGCGCACGGAAGTAAGTCGGCTGCTTTTTGTCCGTGGGGCCTCTCATCTCTCCATGTACATAACTTTGATAGTTCATCTTTGTCCCGGATCGACTTTCCTGAAATTGATCTTCGAGGTCAGGATATTTTTCTTTTTCTGGTGGGTGCTTACGCAATACTTTGTTCTTTCAAATTTGTCTTCAGTTCTACTAAACACTATGAAAAATTGTGCAATTGATTTTATTATTTAGAGATTTTTTTTCTCAAGTATGACATGGTTTGCGTATTTAAAATAATAATTATTAATTTTCATAAGTTAGGTATTTTGGATAATTTTGCCAAAGTATAATTGAAATTCATTGGGTATGCAGGTATGCATGGTCTTTACTCATCAACTTTGAGCTCGAAAACTGATTCATTTCTATTCCAGTATATTTATGGTATAGTCCTTTAGGTTTTGCTACTTCAGTATATCTAGAGGTGACGTAAGATTCAAGTTTTAAATTTCATGCATTTACGCTGCGGATAGAACCTTAATCAATTGGAAGGTTATTAATGGTGATGGAGTTCAATATCTTCAAAGATTCAATATCCTCTCGCCAAAGATTATTCAGAATTGTTTCATAAATTGTAAGAGTTACAAAACCAACCAATTCTACTTTTTGTGATGAAATCTTGAGCAATTGATTTTATTATTTAGAGATTTTTTTCTCAAGTATGATATCGTTTGCGTATTTGAAAAAATAATTATTAATTTTCATAAGTAAGGTATTTTCGATAATTTTTCTAAAGTATAATTGAAATTCATTGGGTATGTAGGTTTCTTACAAAGTGTACACACAACAATCATCCAACAATTTGTTTATTGTTAAAATTACTGAACAGTGGCTTTTGTTAAAATTCAGATTTTTGTCAAGATTTTTTGATACATGATTATGGCTTATATTATATATAAATTTGTTTATTATACGATATTTTCCCTGCCCTTCAAGCCGTGATAATACATGTAATTCGTTTACAATATGATTTACTTAAACATGGTTGTTGTTTCTCTCATTTGAACGATAATGTTTAGAGAATATTAATGTTAATATATGAGAATGAATAACTAACGTGTTATATATAGAGGTAGTTGATAACCAAATTGTATTACATTGCTGTGAGAATACTTTTGTGTGAGTGTGGCACATAGTTTACATCAGATTCAGCCAAACTAGATCTTTTAGTTGATTAGTTTAAAAAAGTTGGAAAATGAGCATGTTGAGTAGCATAGCAAAACTATCAAGAATTATCTAATAATTATATTAATTGATTAGATTTAGGAAAATATTTACTTCTCACGCTCGTACATAGACAGATGAACATCAGCAGAATTGTTATAAGTTAAGTATAGTAAATTTACACTTGGTTAAATCAAGCTAGTTAGTCTACGACTATATAAGATATATTACCGAAACATTCAAGTACACAATTAAAAATTTTCTGTGAGTAAAGACTTACTTTTGTTAGTGAACATAGTACTCAGTGAATCACTGAGGACTATGTTCACAAATGCGTGATGAATCACGTATTCCTCATGTAGCCTCTTTGTTTAATTTTCGTACTCGGAGTAATTACTTGTAGACTCGTGTACATGACCTAACAAAAATAAGCCACCATGTCTAAACATATCAAGAGAGATTGCTATGTCGAGCCCCATACATATCCTCACGTCTTGATACATTAATTAACATATAAGATTGATTAACTTGTGGAAACTACGTGGACTATCAAGATGGTTCAAACCTAGAGTATTTGGAGTTTTCAGATTATGATAAATTGGTTTCATTGACCAATTTACGACCTCATAAACGTGGATTGTAAATGAAGATTATACGATATACTAGGATGTTTGATGATCTTTTTAATCTATTGCATTTTGAAATCTCATCTTATGCATAAGCAGAGAAAATTATCAGATGGACAAATGTGGGTTAAAACAGATGACCGTTACTATAGCTGGAGTTTACGAAGCAAGCCAAGGTGATCTGTTTGTTGATTTACACATATACTCCTCTGGCTGCATAGCTAGAAGTCAGTAGCTAAAAAACAGTAGAAAACTCGAAGGATGTCAACGTTTACTGATAATTTACTCCCTCTCTCCATTTGAACCTTCTTATTCTCCGTAGATTATCGCGAGTTAGTCAATAAGTGCATATGAGAGAAAATAGGTGCACAGTAAGACTCGATTACTCTTCTGGCAGAGCTGCGAGTCAGACTGACTTTCGAACGCATGCTCCTTGAACCAGGCAGTCTGAAGTAGCAGAACTAACCAAATCCGATGAATCGTCTTCATTCCAGTGGTAGTCTTCAACTCCCAACACAACACATCAGTTTGCAGAATTTTGCAACGGCCAGCAGGAAGTCTCGAACTCTCTTAGACGATTGTATTGTCATTGTTGTATCCACCCTGACATCTCACAAACCCCTGATTTCTCTTGAATCCTGTTTCTTCGTCTGTAACTTCCGTCATGACGACGATAAAACAATTTTGAAGCTACTGTCTTCACGTATGAGACAAGTAACCCACTAAGTCTTGTATTGTGTACATTTGTTGTTTCAGCGAAACGGAATTCGATTGTTTTCCCCTTCCTTCTTAGGACATGAACTCATCGAAGATGAGTATAAGAATGACGACAGCCTTCAAGTAAGACTGAAGAGTCCTGGTTTGATAACCTCGTTTGAAGGAACATAATGCATGATCCGTCTGGTCAACGAGGGGCACAATATGTTGAACAGCAGACGACGCTTGCTGCACCGTTTGAGTCTTTCCTACCGGGTACTATGCTTTAAAACTGATTCGAGTCGTAAAGATAGACAATCGAGTCTGAATATCAGAGTTGCTGAATTCATCGATGTTCTTCACAACATCAGTGATGTGAAGAACTGTTCATTGACGAGATTTAGAGCAGGTCTCTCAATAAAACTTCATAGTCGTTGGCCCTGCCCTGTGAGATGCAAGAAAGATAAAAAATTAAGAAGGATTGACAAGGTGGATAGATTTTTTCAGATGTGGAATTTTTTTATCAGGATTTGCGCGGCTTACTGAACATGTACCAGAGGTCAAGTTACTCCACTTGAAGGGCGGCGCTTTATACCTACTTTACACGCGACTAGGTGGATCGGTGACGTCAACATTTGCGATAGGCCCCGGAGTTTGTGTCACGTGGTCAGCATTCGCAGCAAGAGCTTGAATTAAAGTATCAGAGAGAAGGAAACTGGATCCAGGTTGGACACGAGTCGGGATATAATAAGCAGGAGAAGATACATGAACAGACCATTGAGTTGTAGTTCAAATTCCTGTATGAGAAATGCATTCTGTACCGATAATCATGGCGCGGTGCTTCTTAAAACTTCTCCTGCTGTCTTCATACTGGATGTGCAAAAAGTCAGGCTGGAAATTGCCGGGCCCTCGAGATTTGGGAAGCAATAAATCTTTTACGTCCATGGACCTGCATGCATATGAACTATATCTTCATTTTTCACAACCTAACTGTGCCCTGAAGGCTAGTCTTGGTTGTGTCGAACTTCTAAAAGCATGGATGATCATGACCGGCACAGTCTGGTTAACGCATATATGATGGAGAGTGATTTTGATAGCCGAGGATCAAGGAAAGTCGGCAGAGGACAATGCCATTGCAGACTGAGGATCATCATCAAAATGTGTACCATGTGTGTTCCGGACGGAGTGAAGCAAGTACGTTTCCTTGTTGCCTGCTTGGTGGAAGCCTTAAATATGAAAGTTTTTATGAACAGGAATCCCCACTATCTCAAGCAGGTTTTGATTTTCTTTTCGCTCGACCTGGTTTCTCACCTCTGTACATCCCACTATGGGCATGTCCCAGCTTTGAAAAACGCAGACGCTCACCATATCATATTCTCGTGCGCATGTCAACCGATGGTCCTAAGATGTAATGGTCCATTGCCTCCACCACTTCATAACTTTAGGCAAATTTTCGTAGCTTCCAAATGTCTGAAGCTGAGAGTTCCCTACATTGTATGAAGTCAGACTGTGCATGATCGATTATATGACGAGGACTCTCCACCGGATGCGGAGAACTATAGTCGGAACGTGCATTGCAATACTAGCGGGCAAAAGGTTGATTAGAATCGGATATCCTGGCCAAAGCTTCTTGCAGTGTACACCGAAGTGAGGTACAGTCTTCCTGGTAGCGAAGAGATCGGGATGTTTAATAAGAGGAGAGTTTGTCGGTGGCAGAAAGTGGCTTCTGACTTGCATGGATAACTTTGTAGCAGAGCATCGAAGCCAATAAGAAACCCATCCACGATGGCGCTCATGTCATTCGGTCGTTGGACTCACCAATATTCGTGTGAATCTACGGACTGACCAACCGGGTTAAAGGTAAAAAGTCGTTATCCAGGCCTCAGGACGGCATGTTCCGCCATCTTTCCAGTGACAGGTGAATCACACAGAGAACACCTCTTTTCTGCTCAATGAACAAGGACGCTGAAGTCATACACGGCTTCAGACATTTTGGCCCATCTTGTCTCACAGATGAAGTGCAGAGTCAGCAGTTCTGAAAGGAGATCGTGCAGGAGCTATAGCAGGATCTTTCAGAGGTTCTTCTGTTGAGTGGAGCACGAGCCATCTCTCCTCTAGAATTTGTTCATAGAGCATGCGACGTGTGTCGACGTTCGTGAAGAAGAAAAGTACCTTCTCAATTACCTTTCTTGTGAATATTAAACTCAACTTTTACGTTCAGCTTCACATATTTACATTTGCTAGGCCTGAAGAAACAACCTGGCTCGATCCCAGTGCTAAGCATCTTCGACTTTAATTGGCATAAATTTCTCGTCGAGATTCTTGCAATTCATAATCTTGCAGTCTCGTTGCATGCTTTACAATGACTCTGCGCTCACTGTAAGGGTCCTTTTGATCCAAAACATAACCAAAGCATGCCTGCAAAGTGGCAGGGACTCTTGCGCAGGGAATCGTGAAATTCCTTCAACTCGACCTTCACTTCTAATTGAACAAACATCATCACAAATTCATAGTTTTAGTTGTAGAAAGTGCAGTGAAAGGATGCGGTAAGTGTCGGTTGTTGTTTCTCGGTCAGTCTGTAGCGACCAATCATAGGTACACACACCTATGAGTGAGTGGTGTTGGCAGCAGAGCGAGTTTGATGTAAGATACTTGAGGATTTTGTCTTCAAGTTTGGCTACTTAATATCAATAGCGAAGAGATCCTTTGCTCTTGGCCTTGTGCTGACCTTCCCAATTGACTTTTGTCCGTGTGCTACAAGACGAATTCTAAGGAGGATTTGAAGGTTTTCACGATTGATAAAGCGAGCACTCCCTCCGAATCTCAAGACGTGTCTCAAGCGCAGATACGAACAGTACTCGCTCTTAAACCCAAATCGAACCCTTCATAAACTAGTCATTGTCTTCACCTCGCGGCGAGAAATGTCTTCATCGCTTGGACTGCTAAATCGCCTCAGTGGCTGGAGATCATCGATGATATTCAATACTGCTCACAATCTTACGTATTCCAGACAAGGAGCCGCATGTGAAGCCTTCTCTCTTTCTAGCACCTCGGGCAGAGTCTGGAAAGCTTGCTCCATAATTCCGAAAGACTTTATTAGATTGTTGAGTTAGACGACTGAAAATCTGAGCTGCTCATGTTCCTTTCGAGGATTTCATTGGAGATTCGTGGCCGCAAGCCGTTGGGCTACTATCGAGGTCGGAGGATCGCTTTGTAGAGCTCGAAGTGTTTCCCCTTTGTCCTCGGCTCAAGGTCGGACGACTGATGCCTTATCGCCCCGCAAGGACAGAGGAGGAGAGTCTGAATTTCCATTTAACGATCGACGGGAGAATTCCTGATCTTTCTTGTCACGGGGATCCATCGCCGGTGTGAGCAAAGTCGGGCAGGGAGATCTCAGAGATGAATTTTGACAGCCGAATGGCCACGATGTCAAGCCGCAAGGAGGAGTGCGTCAGATGGACCGATTCCGATCGAAACCTGGAGGAGGCGAGGGCGTCGGAATCAAGTCGTCGGTCGATAATGGTCTTTGCTTGACTCACCAAGATCGGTACAGATTTCCGCACCACCTCTCGGTGTCAGGCGGAGTGAAGGGTTTCGAAGGGAAGAGTTGCTCATCAGGTTGCCGATCAACTCTCAGACGATGGTGACGAGAAGCAGATTCTGCAGGGCTGTAAGCAGGCAGGGGGTGTGGAGCTGGCAGAAATTCGTGTCGTCGAGGTGGTGGTACGCGGCAGTGCTGCTGCTCTCGATGGCCCTGCTCCAACGCACGGTCACCTGGAGCACGGCTTCTCTGCTCGGCTCGTCGCCCGACTCGAATTTCTCGTGTGCCAACTTCTCCGATCCCGTGACGCGAGACCGCGCCGCCCTGGCGACGCTACCGGAGGACGAGAGGTACATGTGGTACGCGCCGCACGACGGGTTCGACGAGCAAGTTGTGCAACTCGCCACCGCTCTGAAGGTGGCCATGCTGCTGAACCGAACGCTCGTGGTTCCGCCCATTTTCGACGAGGGCGAAGTGGCGATGGGCCATTGTCTCGACTCGCACTTGACTCCCCAGGAGCTCCGACATCTGGCCTGGTCCGCCGTGGCCGAGCGAATTGCCGACTCCAGGTTTGTTTCGATTCGTCCCCCGGTGCCTTCTTATGCTGTGATGTGACGTCCGATCGATCCATCGTTCTTTCTCATCGAGAATTGTTGTCCGCGAGAAGAGGCTGAAGGGTTCTGAATTGCTCAGGTACGCGTACGTCTCGGCAGCGGACGTGATCGATTTGCGATCTGTGAGCCCGTCGAAGGTGAGAACAATCGACATGCGCGTTTTCTTGGCGCTCTGGTGCGGCATCGATGTCTCAGCTGCATGCGGCGCCGAGGCTCCGGCCTGCTCGAACTTCACGGAAGCGATCCGGCCGTGGCAAAGTCTGCGTTCCTGCATGGACAGGTTCGTTCCCAGAGGCCGATCCTGCCTCGTCTACCAAGTCGACGTGAGCTGCAAATCCACGATCTGGACCAACTCCGAGACCGCCTCGAGTCGCGATTTCAGGAACCAGATGTTGGACAATCAGATTTTGCCGGACAGCGGCACCGCCGCCGAGCGAGACGAAAGCAGGAGCGTGGTGCAATCGCTCGGGCCCGGCGAGTACTCGCTGCTGACTTTCGGCAGCTTGGTCGCAGACATAAGACCTGCCCGCGGTGACGAGGTTATGGAGCAAGCGTTCGCGGCAGTTGACGCTTTGCCGTACGCCGAGGAAATCATGCGCGGCACGAGAGCCATTCTCGAGCTCTTGCAGCTCACGAGTCGCCCATTCGTCTGCGCGCATCTGGCCCTGGGCGACGTACGACACGCCGAGGCCTTGAGGAGTAGGCTGGAGACGCTGGTCCGGGACGGCCACAGGAGCAGGAGCAGGGGAAAGGTGAATTTGTTCCTGGTGACAGATCCGTTGTCAGAAATTTGGAATGAAAAATATCTGGCGGACATCGCTGACAACGGCACCTTTTACGAAATTCATACCCTCGATGGCTACCAAGACTCCTTGCTGGACACTGCCTACAAGATGATGGCGCACGAGTACGGCCTCCGGTCCGGGTTCGTTCCACCTCATCGTCCTGTTGCGACCTCTGCGTCTGCGTCTGCGTCTGCGGACGATGTTCACTCCACCTCCGGTTCGAGGAAAGTGGAGCTTCCGCCCGACATCCGAGCTTGCGTTGAGCAAGTGATCTGCAGCTGCGCGAGTCTGGGGTTTTTCGGCACATCCCCTTCGCCAGTTTCTGCCAGGATCCTCAACTTGCGCAAGGCTCGAATGTGCCCCCTCTAGCCACCGAAGGTTGCCAATGCACCATCTCCTTCTGTTCTTGTGGCCATGTGTGATAGCGTCGCCGTTTGTCGGCATGGATTCGAGCATAGTTGCCTATCTGGGTTACAATCATCAATCATCAATCATCGATGTGCACACTGGTTCCATCCCCATGCTTTAATGTTCACGTAATTTTGCTGCAATTTGGGACAAAATTGATGCTCCTGCGATCGGTTACAACTCGGCCTCCAACTCGTAGGCTTTAAGTTTCTTTAAGTTCTGGAAAGAACGCCCCATGTTTCGATCGCATTTGTCAATCGAGATCAGGACGCAATCCGACATCATTACCAAGGATAGGCAATCGTGGCAAGGTGAGGCTGGCAGTACGATATGAATATCGAATCAGAATCAGCTCCCTCTCAAGTCTTCGCCTCCGCCTCGAATTGTGATCAGGTACACTCTTCCGACACCACGCAAGTTCCTGGATGCCGGAAAGTGCCGGAAATGAGCTAGTAGCTCGTTCCTTGGAGGCAGAGAGGCGAATGGAAAGAATTCGCCTCTCTGCCTCGAAAGGGCTGATGTACACTCGATGCCTCCTTGTGTAACGGCTTCTCATGCGAGCTATGCAGACGACAGAGCTTCTTAGGCATGTGAGTGAGTGAGTCTTCGAGGAATATGCCGATACTCATGATCTGTCAAACTCTGGTTCGGCACAGCTCGAGCTCCATGATGGGAACTGAGAGTGTACTGAGTCAAACGCGATGACGGGCATGCGAGGAACACCCAACTAGAGAATGGGAGCTACGGTGTTGTGGGAGATGTACATGGCCATGGACAGTGCGGTCATGTAAGGTTCAGTGTGCAGTGCAGAGACTCATGGATATCCATGCCTCAGACTTTAATGGCCGACACCTGCATTCAGAGTCATACTTGCGGATCATGCCCGGTGTCCTCCCACTTGTTGAATAGCATGGAATCGAAAGCCCAAGATACTTGGAGCACCAGAACCTGCAATTTAAAGCCTCGTCTTACGAACTTCGAAGTCCTTCTCGCACGGGACGCGATGAGTTCGCTGCGCCGAGCTCCATTGGCTGCCTCCACGTTGGTAACCATTGGTCCTGTAAAGGTCGCCTTTAGCTTTCAACATGTCGGTACTTTTAACCAGCATTCACGGATCGTGCAGTCCGTAGATGTACCTCGAAAGACATGCTTTGAAAAAGCTTTGATGTGTTCAATTCGAGAACGTGCACGCTGTCAGATGCTGCTTTCGCTGGAACCTCCTCTCTCCATACCACGGCTCACGTTAACGAACTCAACACCATCAAGCTTTGACACAAAAGTTGCCCAATCCGTTGCGGTTCCTCGTCTCGTATGCCAATCTCGATCAGTACACAATCAAGTGATGGCTTTTCGTACCCATGTGGCCAATGGTTTGTGCATCAAAAGGATTTCTTCACTCCAAGCGTCACACAATCTGGCCTTCATCTCTCAGTTTAGAATCTTTCTTAATACGCTGATTACACGAACGAAGGCAGCTGAAGAGTGAGTTGACACCAATTTACTTCCTTTTCGCGATCTCAGATCAGATGACGAAGAACGCAAGAAACTTCAACTTCAACGCACCATTCCATAAGTTCAGGTTATGTTCAATACGATAGCTACAATCAAATTCGTCTATAATAGTTCTAATATTTCTAATAAATAATTTACATATTCTCGATGTTTGTCACATGCAATGTTAAGACGCTTATGGAATCCTACCCATAATTGTTTAAGAAAATATTGAAACATAGCTAAAAGTCGCACAAGTTCATCGCAAAAGTTGATGCCGGGCGGCATACAACTTGGGTTTGCATCGGAAATGGTGAACCGCATGAGAGAAACAACCATAAACACGTCTCCTGCCGTAGACAGCAAACTAGTAGAATCACACACGTCTGAGTACTCTACCACAGAACGGTAGGATGTTGACCATAGCTTGGTATAGTATCATTCATAAAATTGCACATGCTGTTATGTGAAGAACTTCCCACCAGAAAAACCAATCCCGAAACGTAGGGCTTTTCCACAATAATCTTTTAATTCTTGAAAACCTAAATATTGTCAAATCCAAAAAAAAATTCATGTGTTGAGAATAAACCGTGACTCATTTGCAGTTCATCAATATATATATTCTTGCAATAATTTTAGAACATTGACTATATACTGTGTATTGAAGCTTCCTTACATTTGGGCAATGTGATCCATAACTTGACCTATGAATATGTTCGTCGTATTTGGCACCAACTAACCAAAACCATGTAACACTTTATTTAGTTCAAATAGTGAGAAATAGCAGGGCATATCAGAATGAAACGAGTCAATGACGTTTGACAAAAAATAAACTAATTTCTTTAGGTTTTCATAACCATTGTATATCTGTTTGGTATCAATCTGCTAATTTTTTAGGAAAAGATTTGTTATAGTTAAATTTGTTAGCAGCCCATGAGAAACCTTCCAGTTACACCAGCAATTGATAAGTGATGTATTGCTCCTCTTGAAACTTATGGGCAAATAATATGAGCATGAAACTCAGTATTATACAAAAATATGGCATGCGGAAGTCGAGCTTTCCACACACAGTTTTATGAGGCATCCGAAATTCTAGCTGTCTCCTCTAAAACACGTTGTTAGAAGCATACACTTCTCAATATACAGACAAGCGGTGTGATGTAAAAATAATGATAATCATTTCTCAAATGACAGCTACAGATGATTTTCACTCTGAAAAGGCAACCTTGAATTATGACACTGCGATGTTCAAAATCCATAGGCTGCAATTTACCATGGTCAATCTAGAAAAAGACATCTCACACACTAATTTATTATAGGAGAGCATGTTAATTACATTGGTCTGTATTCATGGAAGTTAAGGTTAGATTTTACTATTGTATCACATGAAAAAAACTGTAATACCTTTTAATTTAGTGACAAATAAATATTTTAGCTGAACTTACTATGATTGATAAAAAGAGGTCATCAATTTCCTCATACTATACACAATTCCTTCAGTGTATAAAGATTCAAGAAGTAGATAAGGAGTTGCAAAATTTATCTAAGCTTATCAAATAGCAAAGATAATTTAATAATTCAGTTTGTGATCAAATGAAATTTTTTATATCTTCTTTCAATATTTTTTCAGAATTTTTTCTTTACTTATCATCATTAATGGAAAAAGTATCATTAAGTGATTTGAGAAGGAAAAAAAAAATATATTGAATACACGTATAATTAATATTTATAAGACAAGTCTGATTGCCACTAAATGTGTAATGAAAAAATAAATTCTGGATTATCTTGCTCAAAATTTCGATTGAATTTTTATTTCATAAATAAAAAAATATTTTTCAGGAAAAATTGAAAATCGAAAATTTTCATCTCTTTTCTGCAATTTTTGCTAAGATTAAATAATCGTTTACATAGTTTTTATGTGAAAAATAATTTATAATTATAAGTAAAATTTGAAATTTTTTTCCCATGCAAAATAAAGTCAAATGAAAAAAATTATTTAACATAAAATTATCATATTCCATTTAAAATAAAAAATTCATAGATATTTTTGGAAAATCTAATGAATTTTATGTATTTCTTTGGATCAAAATAAATCAATAAAATAATTCTTTTACTTGTAATAAGAAATGACATTAAAAATATATATATATTGTAGAAAAATATCATCAATGATAACATAATTTTAAATTTCCAAATTTAATACTCTTGGTGTATATGTAATAACTACTGAACTCATCTAAAATTTATTAAAATAGAAATAAAGTATGTTGAGCTAGTCATGTTGATAGAGTAAATTACTTGATGGTACCTCATTGTAAAGCAAATTACTTACGGGTATCCATCAAGTTTTGTTTTAACTGACGGAAACTCACTGATCACACACCGTTGCCAACTTCTAAAACTTATTTCTAAACATATATGATGTGAGCTATAATGTGAGGATTTACAGAATCTATTAAAAACATACTTGTGTGAAATGTTCGGTGTGACATCTATAGTCGAGTTTAGTATAAGAAGCTCTCTCCGATGAAACAACACTATGACTCTAGATTCACATTCCTTTTCATAAAGTGATGTACTACGGTATGCACGGTCATGAATCACGCTTCAGTTGTTGTTTTACATCACCTGCAGCAAATCATAGTTTGTGAACTCATGTTTCTTTTCAATCCCAATTTGATCAATATAAAGCTTTTTCATGATCCGAGACTTCTGAAATCTATCAAAATCTTTAGATAGATTTAGATGATGAATATGATGAACCATCTAACCATCTGCAATTGTGTGCATTAAAAGGAAATGGAGTTGTCATTTACTCAGTCTATTCTTCAATCAAAAATGCTTTGTACAATTTTTAAACACGAAAGACTATGTTGCTCTTTTAATGTGTCAACTCGATGTGCACAAGAAATTATACTTCAAAATATAAAATATGTTTGGCACATGTGCAAATGAGTACTATTCTACTTTAAAACCCTAAAAACCTAAATTTTAAACCCTATATCCTAGTACGATTGTATTTAGCACGTGTTCGAGTCAAAGATAACTTGAAATCCTAAGTTGAAATTGAACAAAAAAAAATTGTTACTTTTTGCAATTTATTTTACTCAATCAGTCTTTCTGTCTATATCTTTTGCTTTTTGAAGTGAATGAGTCAAATTCTACTTATCATTTCTTCGGAAGCGTATTTGAATACTTTCAAGCTGGCCATGAAGAATTGATGGCTGAGCATTATATACACAATTGATTAGCCATGTCATTCAAAAGTTCTTTGTTGTGCTAGTACATTAGATGCAACTTGCAAACTAAAGTATTGAACAATGCTTGAACAATTCAGATCAATGCATAAAAAAAGCATTGATCTGAATTGACAAGCATCTTATTGGTAATATTACTAGTGGTCGTAGTGGTCGGGTATACATTGTTGATCTCAAGCTATTGACTACAGAACAAGAAAGATTGAAAGGTTCAAGGATGAGCAAACAAATAGCTTGGTTGATAGTGGTTGAGTTCGCAGGTGCTGCAGCTTCCAAACAGGACTTCAAATTCCTGATTCAATTGGTGCTGCAGCTTCCAAATAGGACTTCAAATTCCTGATTCAATTGGAATCGGTTGAACATGGAACTGGAACATGGCTGACGTGTGTTGTTGGTGGGATATCATCACGTAAAACAAAACTTTATGGATCCTGGTAAGTAATGTACCAATGAGGCACCGTCAATTAAATACTAGTTTTGGAAACAATTTTGGATATCAATTTGAACATGTTAATTTATTAGATACACCATTATGCTTTTTGTGGAATTAATAACAAGATGATTTTTTAATTGAATTTTAATGAAATGAATTGAGATTGAGATTGATAGTATATGCATACAATGCATATAATCTCATATGCAAGAAAAATAGATGTAAAGTTACTTCCAAGTATTGTATTTTGTTTGAATCTTAAACTAATGCAAAAACTAACAATTTTAATTTGTACGAAAAAAATTTACAGAATTTTGAAATTTATGCATACATAAATTAATTGTTGAATTAATTTATTAATTCAACAATTAATAAATTAATTCAACAATTCAATAAATACATATCATGAGGCATTTTAAAACTTGTCATTGTTTTAAATAAATCTATCTAATCTTGACTAAAGAAAATAATGCCAAATTTTATAACAAATCACAAAATCCTGATCTTAAAAAATAAATTTAATTGAATTAATTCAAAAACATGATGAAATTTGCATGCTTTAACACATGATATCTTACAAAGATCAAACAAAATCATCAACAAGGTGTAAATTTCAGACTTACTTGACTATACTTAATAAAAGCAACTTAATAGATTGAAAGTCAATTAGGAAATAATAAATAGTTTTTTTGATGGTAATGATGAGTATGGTATGATTTTGATCTTGGAAAAACTTGAAACTTAGTAATATGATCAAGTGCAAATTTTATTTTAGAAGTTTTAATATAATGTATCAACTTATGAAAAAAGATTTTCACATCAATAATATAAAAAATCTAACAATATTATGGAACAGTAGTTGAACAAATCTTTACAAACATTTATACATTACATTCAGATTTATTATTCATATGCTGAATATATTAATAAACGTCAATATTTTTTTCACATGACTATTCAAATAAGATTATTTTCATTGAATTTTTGTGAAAAAAATTCCAAAGAGAATGTGATTTGGAAATTGCTATAAACAACTTAAACAAAGCACCTACTTTGGCAGCGGTTTTGGAAAATAACTAAAAAGAGGGGATATTTTCTTAATAAGAATAACACATTGCTCATAGCCATTGCAACATAAATAAGTAAACTCATCCAATGTGCATGAATTTTGAATGAATTAAAAAAAAAGTCCTAGACAATATAGGATTCGATTTGATGATTTCATGACACGGCAAGATTTCACACAAATGTGTTTGATCCTTGTGATTCTATTTCATTTTTTTTTCGAATTTCATTTTTATTTCAAAAATATGATATGTAATTAAATGTTATAAATGTGTTTTATTTTGTTTTTATATCGTGAAGATTTAATTTAAAAATACAAAAATACTCATTGCAATAAGATTTTGCAGAATTATATTTTTTATACCAAGTATTGTATAAAAAAATTTTCAAAAAAATTAATGCACGTCTTTTCACACGTACAAATATTATTATAATCTTTTGATTTGAAAAAAATCCTTTGTATAAGTATAAAAGATATTAGGTGCGAATTTTTTTAAACGTTGATTATTTTTTATATCTTTTTAACAAATTTTGTTATCCAAAAAATATAGCCTCATTTGCTATCATACTTATTAATAAAATTTATTTATTTTTAATTATTTTTTCTAAAAAATAAATAAAAACAAAAAAATTGGATCAACAATTGCATTATAGAAATTATTCGTAAAATTAGAAGTTCAAGAACTTAGTATCATCAAAATTAGAAGAAATATATTTGAAATAATCTTATAAATGTCAGATCAATCACATTATCTTAATCTCAATGAATAAAATCTCATGAATAGAATTTTAATTTGAAGTATATTTTTTAGACTAAATCAATTGTGATCAATTGACATAATAAATTAAATTTCAATTAAACAGATACTTTTCAACTATACTAAATCTAAATGACAACAATCATAAAAATTGTCTTCAAAACAAATTAACTCTTCAAATTGAACTAAATCATTTATTATAATATTTATGTCATATATAATATACATTTTGTGATTCTGCTAATTCTTAGAAATAAATTATAGTTGTTGAGATTTTCAATGGTTTAACTATCAACAAAATATTGTAAAAAAATTTGATGGCAGATATTTTTGTTAAGATTTTTATTGTTTCCTTCTGAAATTTTTATTGTAATTTTTCAAAGTAAGGAAATATTTTTACATTTTATCTTTGAATGTTAAAATTTGAAATATAATTTGAATAAAAAATAGTCATTTTATTTACTTACAAAACTAAATTTTAAGAAATTGAAATTTAATTATGGATCAATTTTTTTTCATGATTTATCTGAAACTTCCGCTGATAAGTGAAAAAAAGTTTCAAAATTTGAAGATTGGGGCTGCAGTTGTTAGTGGGCGTTATCCTGCATATATTTTGGCTGTATATAACCACATTATGAAACAAATGATTTCAATTAGGAGTGGATCGTTAGCAAGAAACAGTATTGCTAAAAATTGAGTTGGAGATTAGAGCTCATGAACATGAAAAAAATGTTTTATATTTATAGCGTTTATGGGAGTTTGGAGAAATAAATCAAAATTTCTTTTGCAGAATTTTTTAGCAAAATCATCAGATTCGTAAAGTAAAATTTAGTTAGTTTTGACTATTGTATTTTCTCTTTATATTTATATTGTGGCATGTTATGGTATCACTACAAGTTAACAAGAAGAAAATTTCAATACTATGTAATAATAATTTGAATTCGAGTAGTATGAATTTTTATATATGATCTGCTCTTATGTTAAAATAATGGTTTTGAAAGTCAAACCTTCCCTATCACACGAGTTAATAATGTGGACTAATTGAACCCCTGTACCATTTATGTATAAGCCTATCTTCGAAGTAAACTTATTCTCTATCTAACTTCCCAAACGGATGAATCCTTCTTAGAAACATTGTATTTTTTTTATATTCTTACTTACACTCATGACATTGGAAATACAAAAATGAACATTGAACCGAATGTCAATGATCGGATGATATTATATTGATAACTGTGAATAATATCATTTCAAGTAAATTCACCAAGTACGAACAGACAAATATCTTGTGAATTTGGTTTGAATTTCATCATGTAATTGACAGCTTAATAGTATACTCAAAGTTATATCATTGTACTTTACTGCAATCGAATGTAGCTACGTTCCAAAACTAGTTTAAACCTTCCTTTGGAAACCCACGCTCGGACACATACATTTTAACTTCAGTAATATATTTTTAGTGATATTACTGGGGATTGCTCCGAGACACAGGGGAACGATATACCCTTCCCCGTTCATCTTACCAGGATAATATTTTCATCGGGATATCGAAACAATACTCGAATAGAATGATGTTCAACGGGATGGATGATTGCAGTTGTAGAAAAATATCGATTTGACTGGACTCGGGGTTTTGATTTGTCGCATAAATGCGACCGCCATTTGGCAACCTTAGTAGTCATCGTACCAGAATTTCCTGGCATTTAGCTGCAGATCTCGTATCTGGTAGCACGGATTAGATCTAGGACATATGCATTTAGATCGTCCAGGCCTTTTCGGCAGCGGTTCATCATGTACACCGGTCTCTGTAGCCAAACACCGAAACTTTCTCGCGAGGACCCCGTCCGGAGAGGTCGCGATCGAAATTCACCGGCGATGTGAGAGCGAGGGCGAAGAGAAAGTATATCAATATGATAAATTCCTCTAGGGCAGTGGGCAGGCCTGACAAGAGACTGAGCCCGTCGGCTGCGCCAGTCAGCTGGTACTACAATTCTCGGTGCTCCCTCCGTTCATCGGCTCCAGCGAATCGATCGATTGGCCAGAGAAGCTTTTCTCACCTAATCCTCTAGCGGACGAGACGTTTGAGAGGGAAAGTAAAACAATATTCTCGACCAGCGCATCCGCAGGGACGTGGACGTGGCAAGGTACCAATGACAGAACCAGCGGACTCCGAGGCTTATCTGCCGGCAGACAAACTGGACCATGAGGATCGGTGCGATCGGGTCGATCTGAGCCGCTGGCGAAGGGGCTTTCCATCGCGACGTGTCACGTGTCACCTCTGGATGCCCGGCACGAGGTCGACACGCGCTCGCGGAACCAGCTTTACCGATATCGTCCCTCCGATTTAAGCAGCACGCCAACTTTGGATGCCAGGCCTAATCTGGCGGCAGTGCTCTTTAGGGTACGGTAGTGCCAGGGCCGCACGTACAGTACGGCCTCGGGTGTCGGGAAGCGAGCTCGGATGATCGCTCCCCGATTCATCCTGAGCCGTCAAAATTGCCCGCCGATAAAAATCCCCGGGAAGTCTGAAAGTCTGAAATTGCCGGTCGGCCGAAGGTCTGCCCTTGTCTGGAACGACGCTCGCGTCTCCGCCCGGACGTCGTTCGCGGAAGGAAGACGACGACCGTCGCCGGGAGCAGCCCGGTTCTCGATGGGCGAGGGGCTCACGTTGGTTCGGACAGCGGGCAGCGACTGGAAACCATCTGCGGAGACTCGACGCTTTGCGAGCCGGGAAGGTCAGGTCAGGTCAGCTCGGGTCAGCCCAGCCCCCCTCGCGGGCAGTCGGCAGTCGGCAGTCGGCATAGGGCAGAGGGCACGACGCGGGGGCAAGAGACTGCTCGCTGGCACAGGCGCAGGCGCAGGCATTTTCGCCTCAGGGTTCGTTTGTGTCTATCCCCTTGTGCTCGATGGATGGGCTCGACCTCGAGAAGGCGGATTGCTCGCACAGCGCGCGCGCGCTCAAATTCGCCGACGTCAACTCGACTCGGATGCCGGATGCATTTCGGCTGGCTGTCGCTCCAGCTCGGAGTGCGCTTCGGGCGTGCGAAAAGCCACGGCCATCCCCGGCGGGTGACATTCATGGCTTGCTGGACATGAGTGCAGATGGACCACCACTTCACTTCACCAGTGCAAGAAAAGTCGCACATTGCCCGAGCTGCAAGGGCAATGTCCTTGGGATGTGAGGTGACGAATCTCAAGTGTGATCGTTCGCTCGCTCGCGCGTAGACGAAGTCGAGTTTGTGAAAATGGGGTCTATCTATCTACGAATGAGCCTGGCTGGGACTCAGACAGCCGCAGTGGGGCCAAAGCGTTATCTGCGTACTCGATGGGGAGCGCCGCGCCTGCCTCAAAGCCTGAGGTAGGATGTTCCGAATCGGGCCCCAAATGACAGAGAATGTGCGGGATTTGATAAGTCGCGGACAATCTCAGAAAAAGTCGTCTTGCGCAGGACTGCGACCGCAGATTGTCGACTCACTGGGGTGACATTGATACGCAGCCATCGTCCATAGGCCTCCCATTCATCACGTATGGAGGCATTTCGCTTTTGGGGGTGACCCTTTGGCGTTCCAAGGGGTGCGACATGCTCCAAAAGAGCACTAGAATCAGCAGAGTCCGGTGGTCTGAATCGCTCAAGGGCTCGCGAGATGACGAGGGCTGATGGCGCTCTCAGTTGCCTCGAGGGCCTAGGCTCAAATGCCTCTTCGAGATGGCTCGCCAAAGTCACCTTTGGCTCTTGTGAGGGATAAGAGAGAGGTCAGTAAAAACAAGTTCCGCTCACGGAAGCTGCTTGTGGCCCTCACTGCATTTTGGGACGTATGTGCGTGACATGCATACGGTCTCGACAGGGGTCGTGCAGGCAAGTGTCCGGCTTCTTTTGGATTCTACTTGTACTGTGATCCCTCCATATCGTCTTGACAAAGCATTCGGGGCTTGAGTCCAACACCCGGAAATCATTTTCTTGTGCATTTGTAGATATTCTGTGTCTTTCGGCCACTAGTGGCACCACCCAACATACAATTGCTCCTCGATCGTGCTTTGGACATCCCTGTCGGGAATGACGTTGGGTGACCAAAGCCCCGAGCTTCCCGTCCTCCCTTACTGTTGCTCAGACTTCGGATGCACCCTCCCATATTCCATAATCATAAGAAGATGGGGATACCCTTCACAATTCGTTCTAACTTTGCCGCAAACCAGCTGAGCATCGTAGGTCGCCGAGGGGAGTTTCAACATATTTTATATTCATGAGCAGATGATGAAGTTCATTGAGGGCCACTGACTTCCTCTTGCCCTCCATCGTGGCCCATCAAATGCACCGCTGGTTCTATGTGCCGGAGCTTAAAATGCCGAAGGCGGTACTTTGTACCACTCTAAGCATGTCATACTGCATGCTCACTGAAAATCATTGTTGGGGCAACAAGTTTATCATGCGCAATCTACGTTCAAATCTGGGCAGAGATGCTCCTCCCGATCCATACGGTTTTTCTTCTTCTGACAGGCTGATTATACTCCACACGATTGCAACAGCGTTGCATAAAAGGAGAGCGACCTCGAAAGTGGCTTTACTTCCTCTTTCCGAACTTTCCCTATGCTCCTCGATAATCATGCCTTTTCATTACTCGCTCACGAATAATGTAACCTAGGAGCTTACAGTCCAATAAGGTTGGCCAAACCTGGGAACATATTGAGTACAAAGGACACATAGATTTGAGTGCAGAATATGAGCACATAGTACAATTCCCGTATCTCTAATGTGAAGTTACAGAAATTATTGTCTGAACGTCGGCATGCCGGCGTGAATATCATTTCCACGCTCGCTGTTAGCCAAGAGTGGGGAAGACATCTCACGCCGGAGGCACTAATGTCACCAGAGTATATCCGACTGGTAAGAGAGAACAGGCGTTGACATGAGCGCATTCGTGCTAAACCTCGCAGCACAACGTCTGAATAGGACCTCCACAGTACCCTCGGTACTGCTTCGGCTGGGGGAGCGACTGCTGGCAGTCAGCAGGTTCAGCCTTCTCTTCAATGCAGTCTTGTGATCTCGAACATAGACAACTGTTTTGAGACGCACACTACTTGACCGAACCATGAAATCGTGGTGTTTCCAGACACACTTGGCGATCGACATGCTCTTATTTATCTAAAGATAGGGAAAGTCGCCCTCGGGGGTGGTCGTTAGCCGCAGGCCAGGCCCTTGGGGCACATACCAAGAGGGTCATATTATCCTCCCTCGCTCAGCGATGGCGCACTCCCTTGGTGTGCGGTTGCCCACTTTCTCGAAGTCTGGGATTCAAAGGAAATGATGTGCGTGCCTCCAGTCTTTGAACCTCCAGTCTTGTCCTGAGCGTGCATGCCCGGTGCAAATGTTGCAATCATACGGCACATGGGTTTGGATGCACAACGGATTAGCTTAGGATATGGCACGCCATATCGAGGGGTTTCAGACAGGGGCGATGGAAATTGCCACTCTCTCTCATGTACAAACGGTGTCCAGATAAAAGCCATCAGAGCTTACCTGTCAGTTGCCATCCACCTACGCAAACCTCTTCATTTATAGCACATGTGTCGCCCTGGCGATCATACGCAGAAGACCTGAAGGCCTTGGAGTGAACAAATAGCTGTCCAGAGATATAATGCTCGAGTCATGAGGAATATTTTGGGTACAGAATGTGAAGGAATGAGATCGATATTCAAGAATGGAATCTTCATTTAGATCTGGGTGGCTTCCGAAAAGTCATTCAAGACGGAAGGAATCCGGGTAGCAGGGAAAATCGACAGCCGCTGATTCCCTTCAACCGCATGCACTTTACGTATCAGCGCGAGAGACTTTTTCCAAGAGCGAGACCGGTTTCGTGATTTGACTTCGGGCCAACAGTGCGAGACGGAACAGAACAAACACATGTTTCTGTTCTCGAGCTCTGGGCGCAGTGACGGTGTTCACAGCGCCCGCAGAATCATCTGCACCAGCAGTCCCCAGCTCACGGAGAGCAGATTCCATCCACAGTTGCCTGCGAACCCAACGAGCCCAGAATCTTGTGAATCGGCCTATGGCCGAGCCAGATCCACCATCCAAGGCCCCTTGCCCCTCGGAGAATCATTCCCTCCGCGCTCCTTTTAGCCACTGACCCCCGATTTGTCACCAGCCTTGTCCTTTTCGGACTTAGAGGCCAGGCAATTTTAGCCCCTGCCCCTGCCCCTCCCTCCAAGCAGGCGCAGCGCGTAGCTTTGGACCCAAGCCTTCGAGCCCACAGGCCCCGAGATCCACAAGTTCGGGAAGGGTCACCCCCTCTTTGAGATTCCCCTCGCCCTGGAATCCTTGCTCCTCTCGGGGGCTCAACTCAGCTCAACAGTCACCCGGTACACACGCCTTCGGGTCCCCGATTGGGTTTCGACATACGGTCACTGGATGTATGTACCGCGGTTCATAGCTGGACTGATCACCGTCCGAATCTTGCTCGGTGGCATCCGTGGCCCAGTCTCTAGCCGAACCACATCGGACTGTACTCGTACCTTGCACTTCAACCCGGTGACGAACTCGGGATTGACCACGGAGTCGAGTTTTCCAACCTGGGTCACGTGCGGCTGTGTGGGAATCGGAGTTATTGACCTTTTGACCCTTTGGTTCCCGGCGCCTGATCTGTTACCATTTTCCATTTATTATCTGTCCACGGAAGGGGTCGAGTTTGACAACCTGGGTTGGGGGTGTATGGGAATGAGAGGCATTATCTGACCACGGGAGAGGGGTCGAGTATGCCAACCTGGGTTCCGAAGGAATGGGTGGGAATCAGAGGTATTGTCGGACCATTTAGGGGGGATCGAGTTTGCTTACTTGGGTTACGCGGGGTGTGTCGTAATGAGTATGAGTTTGATTACGACATAATCAGAGGTATTTCTGACCACAGAGTGGGTCGAGTTTTCCAACCTCGGTTCCGCGGGGGTGCGTGGGAATCAGAGGCATTATCTGACCACGGGAGAGGGGTCGAGTATGCATACCTGGGTTCCGGGGGTGCATGGGAATGAGAGGCATTATCTGAACACGGGAGAGGGGTCGAGTTTGACAACCTGGGTTGGGGGTGTATGGGAATGGGAGGCATTATCTGACCACGGGAGAGGGGTCGAGTATGCCAACCTGGGTTACCCGGGGGGTGCGGGAATCAGAGGGGTCATCAGCGCGAAGTTTCCATGGCTCATGAGTCAAGACTATTTCCTCGCTCCTTCGCGCCGGATCAGACAATGTCGCTGCGAAAATCCGAGCACCTACAAGGCCGGAGGACATGCTCAATTTCATCGAGATTATTGTTATCCGTCCAGGTCCGTGTGTGGCAGGCACTCAAACGCCAGGAGCGAGCCCGCCCCGAACGTACGTACCTTCGAACGGAGCGACCGGCCTACGCTACCACCGCCTTCTTCGCTACTAACTGGGTCTACCTGACACACACCCTTCGCCAGCAGCCACTGCGCGACTGTCAAGCGAGGGGTGCAGACCGAGTACGACTCCGGCCATGCAGGCAAATTATCCAAACAACTCCGGGTCGACTTTATCGCTCGAGGAATGACGGTGAGTGACGTTTTAGTGCCTTCCAAATATTTTGTTGATTGGTTCTGAATGGTCACCCGTTTATGGAGAAATATATAATCATCCGAAACAAAAGCATAAGTTGCACGACGTCACGTGTATTGCAAACCATCCCATCGGACGTAACTACAACAGAGGGCAATGAGAATTCGTGATGGCCGGAGAAAAATAAAATCCCGGAGGTGAAAAAATCCATTGAGATTGACTGTTGACAGGGAGGCATTAGCTGATCCTCTGAAGGATTGAGAATAATAAATCTACGATATCTAGCGATAAAATATGAAGAACTGGGCGTCGGTGACCTTTCCATAGCTGCTAGATTTCCACATTGTAATCTTCATCCGTCATAGTTACGATAAAACCAATTATCTCCAAATCCAAACGCCGATTAAAAGTTTTTGTCGGTGCTCGACCTCGACAACTAACTTCTTGGAGCAGGCAATTTGCAAGGAAGTTGCCCTGAGATGGCTTTTGCGAGCACTGAGATAGATAAAACTTACAACCGCGATGCATGTGCCACCATCACACGCCTTCAACGTTTAAAAATTAATGACAAAGTCTACTCTAGACTGATCAACAACAAAAACTTATGGACGACGGCGCACCATTGAAAAGCCAATGCAGCCCAAACTGTTGAATGGACTGATATTTGAGGTAGATGCTAACTATAAGACAAATACCACATACCAACATTGCAAATACAAATTTTTTTTCTTTCCTAACAAACTTATTTTTTCGATTAAAACAAGAGTCCATAGCGAAGTTTCACTTCACGTTAGCATACCTCTTGAGAATAGTAAACAAACGATTGCATTGAACGACATTAGACCGTGTCACAACTTAGGAACCAGTAACTCTAACTTATGACTGCATTTGGAAACAATAGAACAGCTATAACTGTAAAAACATCGATACCAGAGCAATTTGAAAGGAATCCAATGTTTAAGAGTTCAAGGAACTGTAGGTTGAGTGTACATACATTGTACATCGTGAATAAAGTGTTTTACATGATATTGGAATGCTTGAAATAATCCTATGTATTCAAATAATATACATTATACATGAATATTTCAAGGTTCAAAAAAACTAAAAGTGGAAAAATAATGAACTACTGAGTTGGGAAATTCAGTCAGTTGTAAAAAAAGTAATTTTCCGATTTTCAGTTCTGATGTTTTTTTCCGATTTCAAAGTTGAAGCAAAGATAAATAAATAAATAAACAGTTCTATAATCTCATTTATGTTTCTGAATTGGAATCAATAAGGAGAGGGTTAGTCCACTTTGTGTAGCAAAGAATCATGAGTATGTTGGAATGATTCCGAGAAGCGTTCACGAAGAATCTCTCGTTATAAAAGAATTTTCTTTTCGAAAGTTATGACACAACTTTCGCTTTTTCCACAAACATTGGTCTCAATGATACAGATAATTATTAGGGCTCGAGGGTTCGTAAGTTGCGCCATGTGTTGTTGGTAGATATCTTCTTTCAGACATCAAACCACATAAAATATACGGCGGTATTCTGTTTGGTTTGACACGGTATGCAAATCTAGGAGACCGACTTCAGTCAAATGTGATCTACAGTCTGGTACAGATGAGCTGAATATTGACCTACCTCTGAATAAAGGGATGAAAATGAATGGCGACGAGAATATATCACATAGAAATACATAGGCGATATTGTTTTCTGCCTTGAGGGCGTGTAGAGCCAGATATACAAGTCTTCGTGCTTGATAACCGAACTTTGAAACTTATAATAGCTCATTATCAACAAGTCCAAGCGAGAAGGACCCCTGAATGTTCATGAACCGTGTCACCTGTGGATGAAATTCGTCACTTTAAATGATTTTGAGTTGCTGGACCACCCTTTTCCAACTGGACTCCAATTCTAAGTATTGTCTCCAAGTATTGCATCACCTAAACCCAAACGGAGGGCTGTATCAACTGCAGGTGCAGGTGGAGTGCACGTATCAGTCGGGGCACTGTCTCGCTAGTCGTCTCGGCACTTCCTGCTTCGTCGCACCGTCTCCATGACGGAGATGGTCATGAGGGAAATGGTCTCCACGACGGAGAGTTCACGTACTCTGCCGTACGTTATGGCCTCCCCACATGCGGTTCCGACTGAAACATCGCAGGTGACCGAGGCATCAGAAGCAGAAGCGCAGAGTCCTTAATAATCTCCATTTTGCAGGTCTCCATGCATTCGTCCGGCCCGAGCCAGGAGACCATCTTCTGCGGAGAACATTGAATGTCCTTCCCCGAGCGCCTCATCCTGGTTAGGGGATACCTGATCCCTTCGGCCTGCGATGAACAGGTGGTGAGGCCCTCTCATGAATCTTTCCCGGTCGTTGCCCGGCCCTTTTCGGTCGCAGTCAAAATTCCGGTACTTTCCTGTGGAAAAAACAGAATGAACAACACGATCACTTCGTCCCACCAAGTTACCAACCTTCATATCCATTAAAATATTTGCCGGTTGCGTCCGCAGGATTAGGCCGTCACCGAACCACTCCGTTTGACCCAGATTCACTGTGCATCAGAACAATGTGGAATTAGTTCCAGCGAGGTGTTGCTCCGTGGAGAGACTCGAGGTCTTTCTCAGCTACGAAAGGACCCCACTGTGATACTGTATTTCGTGGATCCCCGTTTGACGATGTCGGCTGTCATTATCCATCAAAGACAGCGGGTTTGTATACGGACAGGGTTCTCTTGATATACGATACGGGACCGTAGTTTCAGACCTTCTGAAGTGTGCTTTATTCTACAAACATTCCGAGAGCTTCCATCCAATTGGCGAAGCTGAAGTTGTCGATCTGGAGAGGTTTGTCCTACTTACTAAAGTAGAGCAGCAAGTTGCTCCAGCACATGGATTACTCCTACGGCACCAAATCGTTCTGTCAAGTACATCGGAGGAAAGACCCTACTGCTACAAAAGCACGGACGGCTCTTGTTCCTCAGCCAGCTAGTGAAAGTCAACTAACTAATGCAGCAGAGCTGCGCTTTAATTGGCTCAGCACTGGAGCTGTCTATATACTTGACAACAGTCGAGAGACAGCCAATCATCGGTCCTTGGTGAGCGTTCGTTCCTGATTGAACCCCAGACATGATGTCAACCCCCATCATTAGGGCCTGATTAGCAGTTTGATTAAGCGACGTTCGGTCACTTTCCTTGGCTTCCATGAGTCATCACCACTCACAAACCGTAAAAGATCCATCTCCCACAAGTCTCAACCGAGCTATTTTGGAATCGGGAATTAATTGCATAGAACTCAGATCGAATGCTGAGGGAATTCAAACTTGCCTCGAACTTGAGCTCTCGAACTTGCCCTTTATCTCAATTGTCTACACCTTCCACCTCCGCAACAAAAGTACCCATTGACCAGAGAGTTATAGTGACTCGACAAACTTGAAGGAACCTTGAGAGACGAGCCCTCTCGTGCTTCGCTTCTCTTTGGCCTTTCTCGCCCTTCGCTAGTTCATTGGATGGGTTTATGCCACAGAATCCTATTTCCACGCGTCTCCGTCAGTACTCTGAACCGAAGACAAACCGTAGATGTGAGCCCCCTGTACAGCAAGTTGTGCGAAGGTACAGGATTCCACGGAAACGCTTAATACAGCGATTTGCGAACATCGGTCGTGGGGGGACAGTCTTACAGCGAGGGAAGCAAACGCAGACCCATCTCGCAATTAGGAACCAAGCTTAGGGGTCCGTGTCGCCAAGTCGGAGCAGGTGACGGGCTCACTGAGAAGCAAAAGTAAAGGCTGACGGAGCCGGAGTGATATTACTGCGCTCGTGAATATTGTTCATGTCCCTACGGATGGGGAGGAGGAGAATCTGTCACAGGTACACGATAGCAACCTGATTAAGTTCCAGATTCTCTTCAGAGCGACTCTCCGGACGAGGATAAGAGTAAAGCGAGCAGGGGCAAAACATTAATCAAGCCCGGTTAGCACTCACGATTATTACGACCGGAGTAAAGCTAGCGGCGGATAGGAGAATCGCATCATGAGGAAGAGTGAACATGGAAAGGGATGGGAATTTTGAGGCTGTAGGGCCACGAAGGAGCTCAAAGTGAATAAAGTTCACGTAACGGTAAATACTATGCTTCACGTGTCCACACCACTACATTTGACCGAGGTCCTCTATACTTAGTCAGTGATGATTGACCAGACAGGCCACCACATTAGAAGGTCCGACAATTCGACGCTAAGCTAGAGGGAGCTCCATCGTCCGTCTGACAGTTGGATAGTCTGCGGTCGTCCTCTCGCACCTTTCACACATTCCTGTCGTTCACCGGAACAATGACGAGGCGCAGTGCTCGCATCTCCTCCTCCCTTTCGAACCCTTTCTGATCGTTCCCAGTCACCAGTTGGATCCCACGGGGTGTCGAGACTCGGGTTCGGTCTGGGGGGTATTGAGCCTTTTTCGCTCGGATGTGCAGAACAGGGAGGTGGAACTGGGAAGAGAATAAATATTTGTTTTTTTTGGCCGTGAATGATTATCGGGCGACTGTTGCCGCGGGGTGTCGTGCGTAAAGGTCCAAGACTGCGACGGTGGTGGTATTCAAGGGAGCTCCAAGCACAGCGATCGAAGCGAAGCACGAGTCGTGCTTCGATCCACCCAAGGTGAAGCGACTCCGCAAAGCAGATGTTACTGCCGCTCGATATGCTTCGTGTAACCCGGTGGTGCACTGTAGGAGGATGTGCGTGCCGATTTGCTGTTCCAGGCCGTCGGCTTTGGTTCCTCTCGCAGAGTCGACGAGCATGGTTTCCTTGCTCGAACGGAAAACGTCAACGACAGAAAGAAAGAAATTAAGAAATTAAGAAAGGATGGAACGAAGGAGGAAGAAGAGCAGTACAGTGCATGTAATGGGAAGCACGGATGGGAAAACAAACCCGAGCGGAAGAGGAACAGTGAATTTTCACTGCTCATGACGGACGCTTTTACGGGGAGAACTTCTGTTGCGGACTCCGGTCACACACATACTCAGGCCTTTATAGGAGGAGAATAAAGCAACGATGGCGTCAGAGTCCGACCAAAACCGAGCTTTCAGAGACGAACGGAGAAAAGGGACTGAAGCAGAGGCTCTGGCTATGGGGGAGGGGGTGAATCCGGGTGGATCTCGAACGCGGATGATGATTGGACTATCGCCATGAATTCGCGTTTGTATGTATGCTCCGGAAGAGAATCTGACGGCCAGTGCCGGTGACTGGGTCTCTGGGCGTTCATTCGGTCTTCGGCTCCAGAGGCTCCTGTGCCGAGTGAGTGAGGGATCGAGCGACCGAACGTCGTCGGGAGCGCGGGCGGCGTTAGATATTTTGCGCACACTTGTCATTCGCAAAGTGCTAGCGTGCAAATCTCGTCGGTCGCTTTCTAACTCTTCGCGATTTCCTCGGTTCGCCTGTCGTTCCGTCCATCGAGCGGTCACTGGTCGTCGTCGTCGGCGGCAGCGGCGTCGGCCCACGGCGCGGCGGCGATCCGACTGCTGCGCGTTGCCGTCGACGGCTGGAGGCAAGGGGAGGAGAGACGGAGGAAGACGGAGGAGGAGGACGGAGGGGCGGGAGGCAGGGCTCCGAATTAGCGGAGGAGAGGGTGGGAGGGTAGAGGAGAGCACGAAGGGCTGCTAAAATGGCGGGACAGGGTGGAGGGGGCGGGAGGCTGACGACCACAGAAAGGCGAGGTTCAAAAATAGCGTCAAGCGGGTCCGGTGGGGCTTGCTTGCTGGCCGGATGACTGGCTCAGGCAGTCGCGGCGCGAAGCCCTGTCTGGCATCTTCTGTTCCTTTTCCTGCCACCCCCACCTCCCGAGCCGAGCTGGCACCCGGGCCTTCTCTCTTCGGCAGCCACGAGCAGAAGAAGAGCGAGCCCCCGTGCCGAGGGCGACAGACGAACGCTCTGCGAAAGAGAGAGAGAGGGGAAGAGAGGGGGCAAGAGAGAGGGCGATAGAGCGAGCGAGCGCTGGGGCGCGACCAGGCGAGGAATGCGAGAGCGTGTGCCGATCGCGTGCGGCAGCCGATGATGAGGAGGGCGCTCGAGAGGGCGAGCAGGAAGAAAAGGTGAGCGGACGAGACAGACGCAGAGCCAGAGACGCACAGAGAGGGAGGGAGAGAGGGAGAGAGGAAAGGAGGAGAGAGTGTGGGGAGGACAGACAGACAGACAGAGAGTGAGAGAGGGAGAGAGGGAGGGAGGGAGCGCAGGGCAGAGCAGAGCAGAGCAGAGCGGATGGATTGACTGACTGACTGTGACTGACTGACCGACCGACGACGACGACGACGACTGGTGGGACGACAAAGGGTCGAGTCGTGTTGGGAGCGGCGGTCGGAGTTGTGCCGGGTGATATAGAGCAGGCAGCGACGCGCAGGGAGGCTGATATTAAGTCTGCGATAGATAGCGTGAAGTCTGTAGTGGACGGAGAGGTGAGGAGAGGGAAGGCGAGGAAAAGGGACGAGAGGAGAGCAAGAAAAGAAGGGGAGGGGAGGGGAGGAGAGGGGGCAGGTGTCTAGGCGCTCGTCTGGTTGGTTGTTGGCTTGGGGTTACCGGAGTGCGAGAGGGACTTTTGGGCTTGAGCTTTAAGAGAGAGAGAGGGAGAGAGGGAGAGAAAGAGAGGGAGGGACAGCAGGGAGGAGGGAGGAAGGTGGTAAGGTAAGGGTCGGGAAGGCGGCCCGGGAATAGCAATTGGCGACGGATTTTGTCTGTTGGTTTCTTGAAGAATTTGATCAGGTTGGTTGAGAGGGCGGCGACTGAGTGCGACCGAGCGGCGCAGGAGCAAGGCAGCAGAGAGGATTCGGAGGTTTGGCAGAACGATTATTGTGGATCATGCGAGCGGACAGGTTAGGCCCTCGTCGATGTCGAGAGTTGGCTGCTTTAGAGGAAGGCTGGGAGGGAGGGACATGTTTAGGTCTGAATATAGTTTGGAAGTGGAGGTGACGAGTTTCCCTGAAGATTCTGAGTTCCCATCCCCTGGCAGATGTTGTCCTTGGTTACGGGATAATCTCGGTTTCCCAGTCGTATCGTGTCCCCTTATCATGGTCTACGTCGGTCACGAATTCTGACAGGCGAATCTTGCTTTATTGAGTGTGGGGTGGACGATGGAGCGGATTAGGTTGGATTCGGTAGATTTGATGGGCGTTTGACTGCGAATTGCAAACACGCTGCGCCTGATCTGTGACTCCCCTCCCATGAGAGCCTAGAAGCCATGTCAGGTCCTTGGTTGCCCCCCCGTTCCCGGAGTAGATGCCCACGGTGCGCGAATCCTCCCCCGCCGAAGAAAAATGGACCGCTGAGTGCCTGTGAGGTTCGTAAGGGCTGTTGTTCCTGCTCGTGATGTGTTGAAAGTCGTCGCGGGCTTGGCTCCAGAGACAAATTGGAATTGAATCTTGTGTGTCTGGTGTATGTGGCTTGTGCATCAAGTGGCGTTCGGAACAACAGCATCTGAAGAGATGACCTTGAAGTGAAATAGGCAGCAGGGTTTTGAGTCGGACCTCGGGCAAGATGATAGGCGGTGGGGTGTTCTGGGAAGAGAACATGGTGTCGGCTGCGTCTCGCGAGTTTTTGTCGCTGCGCCGCGAGAACGGCGACTCGTTCGGGCCCTTCGGCGGCTCGCGAGCTGCGCACTCGGCCGCCGCTGCGGCCACCCAAGACGCTCTAAGCAAGTTCAAGGGCTCGGATCCCCCGTACAGGTGCCCATCGGCCGACAGCCCCACGACCACGCTGTCCATCGGGGGCGACTCCATGCCGCCTGCGGGCGCCAGAATCCCCGACGACCAGAGCCGCGAGACGCTGCTCCAATTGAAGCCCTGGTCCGTGAGCGCGGACATGCCCAGCCGTGCGCACGGGGCGCAGCAGCCCCAGGTTTCGATGGACCACAGCGGCGGCGGCGAGTACACCAGCCAGGATAACTCCAGCAAAGGGGTGAAGAGGAAGCGCACCGCGGGCGCGAACAGAGCAGGGGAGCAAGGGAGCTCGGATGCGGACGAGGATCGCGAGGTCGAGAAGGGCATTGTGCTGTGCTGGGGCACTCTGAACAAGGGCAGGAGCACGGGCGAGTCGCCGGCCCCGGTGCAATTTCCCAGCAAGCACGCCAGCGCGATTGAGTCGCAGGTGCTATTGGGCTTGAGACAGAACGACAATTGCTCGGGGAGCTCCGAGGACTACTCGTACCAGTACGGAGCCGCCACTCAGGATCACGGAACGCTGCTGCGCCTGGGGCAGACGGGCGCAGGAGAATCGAACGCCAGCCAGAGGAGATTTGCGCCCTCCAAGGCGCCCGGCGTCGCGGTCTCCGGAGGCGAGGGCGTGCACTTGGGCCTGGCCCCGGCAGGAGGCACTAGCTCTAGCGAGGCGCCCAGGTTCGAAACCACCATGGACGGCGTCCCGGTGGTGGACGAGGGCTCCTCGTCGGCGCGGATGTCGAAAACCGGAGGGGGCTTCATGCCGGCCTTGCTCATGGGCAGCCAAATTCGGGTCAATCCGTCGCCACTCAATCACCAGCAGCAGCAGCAGCAGCAGCAGCACCAGAGAATCTCGAGCTCGGAAATTCCCATCTTCCAGGAGGACCCCGGCGTGAGCGAGCAGGAGCTGTCGATGAGCATTCGCGCGTCCACCAGCGGGGGCACCACGTCTACGAGCGGGGCGTCGGGGCTGAGCGACCGCGCGAACAAAGTGTGCAAGTTCAGGGGGTGCAGCAAGGGCGCGCGGGGCGCCTCGGGCCTGTGCATAGCGCACGGCGGAGGGAGGCGATGCGAGAAGCAGGGGTGCAACAAGGGCGCCGAGGGCAGGACCGTGTACTGCAAAGCGCACGGCGGAGGCCGCAGGTGCCAAAGCCTCGGGTGCACGAAGAGCGCCGAGGGGAAGACGGATTTCTGCATCGGCCACGGCGGAGGCCGCAGGTGCAGCCACGAAGGGTGCGACAAGGCGGCCCGCGGGCGCTCGGGCCTGTGCATCCGCCACGGCGGAGGAAAGCGGTGCACGCACGAGAATTGCACCAAGAGCGCAGAGGGCTACTCGGGGCTGTGCATTTCGCACGGGGGCGGGCGCAGGTGCCACTTCCCGGAATGCTCCAAAGGCGCCCAGGGCAGCACCTTGTACTGCAAGGCGCACGGCGGAGGCAAGCGCTGCATGATCCAGGGATGCAACAAGGGCGCCGAGGGCAGCACTCCGCTGTGCAAGGGCCACGGCGGCGGCAAGCGCTGTATGCACGACGGGGGCGGCATGTGCACCAAGAGCGTGCACGGCGGGACGATGTACTGCGTGGCCCACGGCGGGGGCAAGCGCTGTCAGGTCGAAGGGTGCTCCAAGAGCGCGCGCGGCAGGACGGATTTTTGCGTGCGCCACGGGGGCGGCAAGCGCTGCAAGGTCGATCAATGCGGCAAGAGCGCGCAGGGCAGCACCGATTTTTGCAAGGCCCATGGCGGCGGCAAGCGCTGCCAGTGGGGCGTCGAGGGCTCGGGATTCGGCGAGCCCGGCAAGGAGGCCTGCGACAAGTTCGCCCGGGGCAAGACGGGGCTATGCGCCGCGCACAGCGCCCAGGTGCAGGACCGCCGAGTGCACGGGGGCTCGGGGCTGGGGCCGGGGCTCACCCCCGGCCTCTTCCGAGGGCTCGTCTCGAGCTCGGGCCAGAGCCGCTGCTCGTCGCTCGGCGGTGGCGCCTCCTCGAGCTCCACCAGCGCCATGTGCAACACCAGCGCCCGCGAGGAGCGCACCGTCCACGGCAACAGCATGTACAGCGGCCTGAGCGGGCTCAATTTCTCGTCCATGTCGCGCGGCGCTGCCAGCAGCGGGTCCAACATCTCGTCCGTGACCAATGTGGGCCTGAGCGGCCCGAGCTCCACCGCTGCCGACGTGCAGCAGCTCCTGCACAGCCGAGCCGCCCATGGCAGTGGCGCTAGCGCCGATGCGACGCCGGCCCAGGGCTTCGGGCACTCTTCGCTCATCCCGCCGCAAGTGCTCGTGCCTCTGTCCATGCAGAAGAAGGATAGCAACGCCAGCTTCTCCAGTCGGCACATGCTCGGGCGCCCTCCCCGGCCGCCCATTCATCACATGTCTGACGATGCCGGAGTGTTCAACATGGGTCCCTGCTCTCTGTCGCTCCCCGAGGGCCGAGTCTACGGAGGCGCTGTGCCCGAGGGCCGAGTGCACGGAGGCGAAGTGCAGGGCGGTGGCAATGGTCTCGCTGTCCCCGAAGGAAGGGTTCACGGCGGTGGGCTCATGGCTCTGCTCTCGCGCGACGTGAACGCCAGCCCGAGCGATGGCATGGACTCCGTTTCTCTGGGCATGGCAACCTCGCAGTCGATCGATGTTAGATGGGGTCACCATTCTGGCCCTGCCGATTACGGCTCCAGTGTTCTCATGGACGAGCCTCACAGAATGCCAGAGCGGCGAGTTGTCGGCGGTTCACTGGGTTCGGATGTCGGCCAGTTCCTGGCAGCTCGGATGAATCTGAATTTCAGCTGAGTGCAGTCGTTCGTTCGTAAACTATCTATTATCGCCATGGGTTTGACAGTGTGAGCCGGTGGAGCTTTAGATCCATTGAGCCTGCGACTCGGAAGGGGTTGGCTGAATTCTTGTGGCGTCAGTGTCGGGCCAGTATCTTGCTGCCAGTGGACCTCTGATCTCGTTCCGCATTCATCTACAAATCGTTACTAACTGAATAGATAGATCTAGGGTATTGGACGTACATTCATTGCTTTCATGTAATTATCCACCTGCGTCAAGTTCCTACCCATAGGCAGGACTCCATTTATTTAACCTTCGATATGTGGGTTTCAAAGAAGGAAGCCTTGGTCATGTTTCGAGTAGTCATTAGTGTGTACAATCTTCTGGAGTTGTGATTTGTGTTATAGATGGGGAGATGAGGTCAAAGGCTTGTGGACTGCCTTCCAGGTTATGCCACGAGCACCTCATGATTCTTCTTTCATCAACCATTCTTCCATCTTGTATTTACACTCCCTTCATTATTAATACTAACGAGTCAATGTTCATTTTTAAATCAGCCGTCGAAGGCGTACAGTCGTCCTCTTGGACTTCGGCTTATGCACTATCATTGGCATGAATTCTCGCTCGAGGTCCTCAGTTTGTATTATACGCCTTTGAATAAAGAGATGCAGGACTTGCTTCACGTGTTTGAATTACATGGTTAGTGGTATGTGATTGTGAATTCTGACTTGATGTTAATTCCAATTACCGCTGGATATCGTTATGACAACAAGGTCGTACTTTTACTGGTATGATGGAAGAAGCTCGTAGGTCTGAACCGGCGCAGAGGTCAGGATGGGCCTGAGGGATACATCATGGGCATTCGGACTTGAAACGACTGTTAGTCTCCTGAAGCATTGTTGATGTGGATCTTTGGTTCTGTAAAAATCGGCCAATGAACGTTTGATGATGTGATGGCATTATATTATTGTATAACCCTGTTCCAAGACGCACCAATGTGTCCCTGACGAGCTTTGCCATTCAGGATTCGGTGCCTGAAACCGATTGAACACACTCCTTGGCCCAGACACTCCAGGAGGTCGACCTGGGTGCAACGAATCATCTTCTAGACTAGACAAGTGAAGAGAGGATCATCTTGACGAACAGACAGTGAATCTGGTTAAACATTACACAGAATGTATTCGAAATTTGTTTCCTGAATGGTTTGGTAAATTCGTATGAGATAGGCTTGCCTCACCTCGTTTAAGTTTCAATAGCGAAAGCTTCAATTTAACTAACTCTCGGAAAGTAGGTTTAGTACAACCAGACGATTCAATTGAACGATGGTTTTAAGAGGATTGAGTACATTCACACTGGAGCATATCAGGAAACGCAACTCATGCGACGATACTTGTGCAAAAAAATCCATCGTATGATCCTTTCACCCAAGAACCATCGTGTTTAGACGTAGCTGATTTAGACATAAAATCTAATCCTGATGCGATCTGTGATGGAAATTCGATAGTTCGATGGTACAGAATGCCATCAATCCGCACGATGTCCATCTCGCACAACTTCAGATACTTTCTTAATCCACCTGGCGTGCTGTCTAGGCAATGCAACCTCTGTCCAAAAAACTCCTATGAAAAACTTTGCGACGCCATCGTCTTATGCTGTGCAGGTTCTAGCTGGCGTAGACAGTGACATGGACGTTCCAAGCATTCGGAGTCGTGGCGATGGAGTGATACAATTTTTGATCTTAAAGGGACGGCAACCTGAACTACCCTGCAATGCCATTGTAAAAGCCACCATTGGACGTAGGCATTCAGACGAGCACCCTACAATGCACGATTTAGAAACGGTAGCGTATGTCGAAACGGAGGCAGTTTTTTAAGGCAGAAACACAAGGTCCGTGAGCGCAGAGTGACGAATATGGCGGCTCTACAGTTCGACGCAAGTCAATCGCCTGGTCATCTTCCTGTTACAGGGGTTGCCACTGGCCGTAACAGTGCCGTAAGATACACTTTGGTTAAGCTAACGAAGAGTGGGTTAAGATATGCAATGAATTTTCAGCATTGAAAAATGTGGATTAACATCTGTGCTCTGACAAAAAGGCCTGTACTCGAGCCAAATACAAGCGTCTTGTAAGAGGGCAACCCCGGCTCCACAAGGAACTCTAAGACTTACCGCAACTCCCAGCAGTGTACAACTCCATTCCAGACAGGATGAGCAATTAGAAGTCAGTCCCCGTTCGCATCAAGTTTATTAGCTCCAAAACTAAGGCTGAGGGGAACGGTGTTTTCGCATTTGACACCTAAGCAAATCCAGAAGGAGCCTGTTCTTCCGTCACAAAAAATTTCCTATATGTACAAGTGCGACTGGCATGCTAGCCGAAAATTTCCTGCTGGGCGGGCTGCATGTTCGAGAGATTATTTACAGAGGCTCTTTTTCAGTCCTCGCTAGGCAGGCTGTTACAGTATCATCGCAACAATGAGACTTGACAATTTTCCATCCCGCAACACGTTGGACCTTGAGCGAGTTGAAGCTCAATAACAACAAGTCATCGGACCTTGACTTTCGCTTGTGAAGCTGATCCAGTTTGTACCACATGATGCCGATGGTAGTTCTGCAAGAGTAAAAGGCTTACACTTGCCTTTACCACCGATGAGATTTTCGACCAGGAAGGAGGATGCATCGTGAATGCGCCCTTTCCTCTTCGCCAGTTGCTGTGCACTCATCTCGGCGGCGATCAACCGTGCAAGAGAGACAACTTTCTGAAGCTGGGCCAGATCGCTTGTTGTAAGCTGTACTTTTCTGACGGCAGCATAGTGTTGTCTGCACTTTGGATTCAACGTGCAACTAGAAGCTGACTCGTTTCGGAAGAAGGAATCAGCATCTTGCACGCTCCCCTCTTCGCACTGGTACGCCATGTATATCAGGCCCGAGTCAAGAGCCTGTGTTTCATGGGCACGATCTTGGACCTTGTAGGGGACAATTTCAACTAAAACCAACATTTTCCGCGAGAACAGACATGGAATGATGATATCTACACCATAAAACCCAACAACTACATCCGCCAGTTGCAGTATCTCGAATTGCTCTTTGAAATCCACTTCACGGTAGTCTTTGAAGTGCACATCCAATCCCAGGGCCTTTCTGCCCAACAAGGCACGAAAAACTTCTTCACTTCTAGAGGACAATGTTCTTCTAGTGTTGTTCCCGAGCAAGGCAACAAGATAGGGCCAGTCATTGGATGCACGAGCGATTAGATTTGTGTCGAACCTTTCGCTCAAGTGGTCACGCACCATATCCGCAACAACTTCTCCTCCGGGCCAGCAACTTCCCTGCAAGCACGACGTCAGAAAAAGATACTGGTGAGATATTCTATGAAAGTAATCATCGATCCAGTGCCTTCGGTGCCTGATCTATTATGATAATCAAACATCATAATAGATCGTCTCCATGAGTTCATACGCCATGTGCATTCTGAAATCAAGGTTTCCATGATGAGTCAGTGTTAGCGGCAAAGAGTCAGAAATCTTCAAAACTGGACTGGATCACCTATCTTCAATTCAAGAAGGCTAGTACAAGGATGGATGAAAGACAAGAACAGTGGATTACGGATAGCCTCCGATAATCTTCGTTCGAAGCTTTCGTTCATTTACTTACAAACCGTAATCAAGGTGGTATGATACCGAGAATCACTCAATTCTTTTTACTGCTCTTCTGTATTGATAACTGTTTATTCTTTTCGGCATGAATTTCAATTTTCTGCCGCAGGACGTCGATTGGAAAGGTCTGATGACTCACAACTTTTTATCTCATTTAACACCATACTGTCTTTATCGAGAATGGCCTAATACCGAACAGTCTTAGAGCGAGCGAGTATTAAGAAATCACCTGATTTCGATGTAAAGAACTGTAGTTTGATGAAGTGTTAGAGTGGTACTGATTATGGCTGGTATCGATATATGAAACTGGGCAGAGATGATGCCAGGGCGTCGGTTCAAAGATTCGTGAAAAGATTTAGGATGCTTGGTATGACATGAAGCTCAAGACTCTATCCTTGGGCATGCGGACGTTCGCTAAACGTGCTAGTTGGCGAAGCACAAGGCAAGTGATCAGATCGCTTTGAATCTGCAGGTCAAAAACATAACAATTAGAAATGTACCTTCAGTGTTCCCGTCAGAACGGCCTTCCGAAAACATAAGGGCCTGTCCTCTGTGGCAGCCGAAAAAGGATCGTTTAACTCCACCCTAGTGTCAGCTACCAAGCCCCCTTCAAAAATGTCTCCCACCTGAGTCCTGTCCATCGGCAGAGCCCGTGATAGAATGGTCGACAGATATGTCTTGTGAAATCTTTCTTCGCCATCAGCTCGATCCTTGAGAATCTTCGCTACACGACGATGGGTCATGAACATGAACGTACCGATTTGATCTAAGAAGGCTGAAGTGCTTGCATTGTTCAGCAGCAGCAGCATATTCACCTTCTGCAGGAAACGAGATGGGTCCATGGTGCGAGAGTCGAGATTCACCAAAGAAACCGTCTCATTTCTCCAAGTAATGCTGTCGCGGCCATTCATCCAGGCCGGTAGTCGTTCAGTCATCGGAAGCCCCGTCTCTTTCACCATGGCCAGCCTACGCGCGTAAAGATCTCCATTCCTGCAATGGATAGGCGTCAGCGGGCTCTGAGGAGCGGCATCCTCCGGCTCCTTGCACACCTCGTTCTGCAGCCTGATCAAATGGCTGCCATTGTAGCACACGTTTCCAAAAACCCACAACTGCTGCATGTAGTTGTAATTGCTCGCTACGCTGTAAATGCTAATCTCAGACGGAGAAACCTGCCCATCCCAACCTTGTGCTCCGTCCTCGGCCTCCGAGCTGTGCGCAACCCTCTCGTCGCGGTCGGCGTGGACAGGATGTCGGGCGGCCCCGTCGGAAGGATCGACAATCCCGAAGCCGGGAGGAGCATTGGCGGCGAGCAGCAGACCAGCATTGGACGAATCCGAGTGCGCGCGATTCTGCATAGAGATGGCGTACGCAGAGAGGGGCAAGCCGAGTTTCAGCAATGCGAGGGAAATTTCATCGAGCTGCTTCAGGCCGTCGACGTCGATGTCGCGTTCGCCCGGAGACAGCCACAGAAATCGGGATCCCGCGACGTCGGACGAGCCGATCAGAGCCCAGAAACAGAACACGGTGGAAACGAGCACGCACAGCAGCATCCAGGCCTTGGCCACCCACCTCCCTCCGCGCAGCGACACCGCGCGTCGCACCTCCATCTCGTCGAGCGACACTCCGCGGAATCGCCAGCCTCGCCTGTCGACGCTCCTCGCCCCGTCGCCTGAGCCTCGTCCCCTCATGCTCACGAAGCTCCCGAAGCTCCTCATTTCCATGGCGCCCCGCGCGGGAAACGCGCCCCCGATCCACCCCCTCGATCTCTTCGGGGAATCGCGTGATTAGACTCGCCGCCCCTCTGTTTAGCTTCTGCCTGGCCGGGCTGGGGCTGCCCGTCTTAACCCAAGCGCCCCAGGCCTCCTCTGGTGCAGGAGCCCCAGCCCCCCTCCTCCTGGCGTTACACACTCTCGCTTAATCAGAACAGTGCTTATGCTTAATTAGCCCCTCCTCCTCCTCCCTCCCTCCCTTCCTCCCTCTCTCTGCCCCAACTCCCGACGACGACTCTCCGCACGGACGGCGCTCAACCGCTCCGGCCGTACCTGAATACCACTGCCCGCCCGAGTCCCAACCGAAACTCCGTCCGCTCGGAATCTGGGGGCAACTTGGGTCCCACGAAATGCCCTTTTGCCCCTCTTCTGCCCCCGAGCCAGCCCTGCAGGGGAAGGGGCTGTTCCCTTCTCCGCTTGGGGTTGGGGTTGTCCTCTCGCCAGAAGCAGGGAAATGGGTGCGCTGTGCACCTCGGCACCAGCATTTGGGGACGGAGAGTGTGGGAGAGTATACAGAGAGCAAACATTTGGCGTCGAGGTGATTAATCATTTGGCTCGCATCGTGCTCTCGTCGTCGAGGTCATGGCTTTCGCCCCGCATTGGATGCGGATGCATCGATCGACGTCCGGGTTTATCCGCACATATGCCTCCTGCGTCACGTACCATCATCGTCCTCAGGAATCTGCGAAACAAGGGGCGCGAATCATCCTTGTCGCTTGCCCCGTGTTTCTCCACTGGAGATTCTGCGCGACACATTGCCCCCGGGGATTGCCCTCCCCCTGAAGACCTCGACAAGAAAAATCCTCTGCACCCAAGTAAGGATGACTACTGAATGAACAAAAGAACATGACTTTGTACTGACTCTCTTCTTCAAGGTACCAAGAGGAACATATTAATTAGTTGATGTTATCCTTGGTAAACTCAAAACACTTGATGGGACTATGGATATGTATAATTGGATTTTTTGATAAGTGAGATGTATAATACCAAATGTATTATACAAGGCTCAAAGTTACATCTAATTCAAAGATTTTACACTTATTCATCATCTACTCCGGATGAAATATTCATCATGCATGTCGACAACGCCCTAAGATATGTCAGCCTTATCAAACTCATCAATGCTACCATCATGGGGTACTCTTCAAGTTCATCTTCATATTCACTATGTGGGAGTAGCTCTTGCGGCCACTTGTAAAACTTTGTATTCCTTGTTGTAGAGATTTGACGATCGAGTTGTATCGAAGTGAATAGAATGGCAATCCAGTTTTGTTCTTGTGCTTGATCACCAATAATTTATATCGAAGGAGCTTGAAAATAGCCATAACAACTTTCATGCCTAATGCTCACAAGCAACTAATGGCATAGCATGTGTGGTGAATATCACACAAGCTTTGCACGTGGTGAATATCACACAGGCTTTGCACGTGATGAATACCATGTGCATATAATGTATCAAGACTATGTTGTTCGTCCTTCTTCAAGAAATGAAAATGATTCTGATCGCAATAATAGAAATCATACTCGGAATCATTCGAGTACACTGACTTGCTCTAGTTGTTATTGGAAAAGATTGACTTGCTCCAATTGCTGCTTGCAGAAACCGATTAACTAAGTGTTAATTTTAGCATCTTCTTTTGAGATTGTTGAAATCCCGCATCAAACTAGACTATTGAAAATCCCCGCTTCTTACATCCAACATAGTGATTTCACATGCGATCCACCGTTTCATTGCAACAGAACACTTGCACTACATTGATATGGCATCACCTTGCATGTAACAACCTCCAAACTCTTCCCAAATTGCATCTTTTGGCTTCCCCATTTCCAGAAGAGTCTTATTAGTCTTAGTACAACACAATATTCTTGTGATATAGCCGTCTTTGTTTACTTTTATTGATTTTGACATAGATTTGTAGAGAGTTCTCTCTCTCCTGTGAGATGAAGATCTTGTTTTTTGGGTAGATAATGAGTTTCACTCGGGTGTAACATAAGCAAACATAAATTCTCCATCCATAATGAGGTGCACCAATCATGAAAGAGCGGTATTCTGAAGTCAAAAACAATAAAAACTCTTGCCTTTGAAACTAGCAACGCTGCCCTACGAATGTGCTGAAACTCCTTTGAGCAATTAAAAACCACATCTATAGGGGAATACAAACTTGAACATAATATATTTTTGATATACTTTTTCTCTGCGTACTAATGTCGGCTTTGATATTGGCTTGTAGAACGTTATTTATCTTTTTCTTTTCAAATGAAGATGCTATTTCTCGAATAGGTAGTTAGTTTTACTCGGGTGTAACATAAGCAAAAGTCAGCATCCGCTTATTTGCAGTACCAGGATTGCAAACAAGTCGCATGACTAGCATTTCATCCAATCTTTGCTTGCGTGCAAACTTGGATCTTGAGCATAATTTTTAGAATTAAACACTTCTCTAAATATCAAAGAAGAGAGCTAGACAATATCACATAAATTGATATTGGAGGTTGAGTCCAAATACTAATACTCTGAAATCTTACACTTCTTTGACTTACTAAAGTTTTTTTTGGTACAATTATACAAGATATGGTTTGGAAATGTTGTATAATGTGGTGGTATAATACCATAATTATACATAGATGGGATCCAGTAGGTTTCATTTTACCCAATGTGACCCCATCGACGGCACTGCATCCCATCCTCAGTGATGTTCCAATCCGATGTGGAATTATTTCGAGTGAGAAGATGAAGTTTCGGAGAACTTCATATTCATTGTGCCCGTCATTTTCTCAGAAATGGCTAAGAACAAGTCGTCAAACTATAGTGGCTTGATAGCGAAAGATACTCTCCACACTATAGAGCATATTAGCGGATTATAATAACTTTTATTGGAATATAGCTAACGGTGGGTTGCATGGCCGTGGAGTGGGTTACTATAGGCTAAAATGAAACCTGCTGGGTAACTGAGTGTTGAGTTTCCAAGGCTACCATCAAGTAATTTCCTCCTTTTGACTTTGCACCTAAGACACCAAAGTATATCTAGATAAACGATTTGTATACTTCAGATAGTTTTCTCATGGATTGCAACAAATCAACTCAACAATGATCTTGTAGAGGTATAGTTCTCCTATCTATTTTCTCATCATAATCTACCTTGAGCCATTTGCACAGTCAGAGAAACAATAGGGGTTTCAAATTAGATCCACACAGTATCTATCCGGAATACAAATCTTTCCATAAAAGCTCCCCGTCTAGACCAACAGTTTTTGCGAAATGCCTATACAGGTCCATGCGATATCTTAAGGATTATTGCACGATCACATTGTTTTCACTCATAATAGTACCAAAATTCTAGACACTAATAGTGAGATGTGACATTGATTGGTGGACCCAAGGCTGAATGGGTTGCTTTTAAGGATCCGTTGAGCGTATAACACTCTTATGGGACTGGCACTCAAGGTTGCGGCTGTGTTCTGAAACCATCTATGTGTACACCGACAACAAACCTGGTAATCCTCCACTTTGATTTTAGTGTATCTCATGTAATCTTATTGTTTTTCTTTTGAGTACTTTTGTTACTTTGTTACTTATCGTATGTAGAGTTCTACATACGATAGCGTGATCAAAATAGAATTTTAAACTCAATTTGAAATTTATTGACCTGAAAAGTAGAATTCAGTGCCTGTTGTTCTGGTATGTCCTATTTTAACTTATCATTATATGACATATGGAAATCTATGACATGCAATTTAATTAGCCACAACTTGCCAAGATGAAGAATACACCCACTCTGTCTAGACCAGTTTGTAGAGACTTTGTAGCTCTCTACAAACTCACTTTTAATTAGTTTATACAACAAATTATCAAAGTAATGATACCTGTAGCTGGTTCAAGAATAAATGGCCGAATTCAGTAGTTTTGTCTCCTATTGAGGAGGTTGATGAGGATGTCAAGTATCATCAAATAAAGAAACACATAAGGCCTACAAGTTTATCAAAAATCCAAGGACTTCATACTTTTGACTAGAAACTGCTTTTTGAGCACGAAGATATTACAGAGGTATGGTTCATGATCGTTTTGGAGAAAAAATTGTACGTGCACAAGTGTCATGCAATGACTATTTTCACTACAACTTTCACGTAGATAGTGTCTTTCGTATCGTATTGAGATACCTCATTGAAAAAACATCACCTGTAAAACAATTTCTCGGTAAGTGTGGTAGAACATATTCACTGAAAGGAAAATTTTCAAATATACTATACCTATTTGTTTGGAACAAAAGGAAAAAAGGTAATCTAATCATACAATGAAGTTACGGAAAGATTATCTTTAACGTATGCATGTATGTATTTACGCTAATATACATCAAATTCTCAATCCTTGATATTTAAGATAGTGTTCTGCCTTAAAACACAACAACATTGCATTGTTTTTTTCCTTTTCTTGTGTGGTTATTTCATGGCACTTTAAAAAGATTCAAACTTCTCTTTCTCATACTTTGAACGCAATGAATAACAGTGCATAGAATCTCCCACTCAAAACTTTACATATCAAGAACTCTGAGGTACGTTGATCTCATGCATGTATCTCTTGAAAAGTCGATATCTTGAAAGCATTCAGATTGTTAGTTATCATCTTGTGTCATATCTCACAAGTACTTCGTTTACAATGGACACAATGTACAGAATCTGTAGCTTAGAGTTAGACTCTGATTTTTTCGAATATTTTGTTATCAATAAAACTAGTGGAGTAGAATCGAATTATTTATATTCGAATTATTAATATATACAATATTTATTATATATTATATGTTGATGTCAGACCACTGAGGAATATGGTGCAAACACTGTAAGAGGTGATTTCCAACAACATCACTCGCTGTAGTTTAAAAAAAATGAAAGAAATGGACGAGTGAAATAAGCCAGAAGAAGACTTGAAGACGAACACATGATTTTGGAGATTCGAGACAAGGCGAGAAGACCAGACAGGTCAGACCGGGTGGGGATCAGGATGCTGAAAAGCAGCAGATGACGGGCAGGTCCAAGATCGAGGAGACGAGGGGCGAAAGCTCGAGTGCAGGAAAGGGACGAGGACTTCACTGGACTCCGGAGGGCACCACCAAAGCAGCCGCAGTCGCTCCGAGGCAACCATCAGGGAAGCATATGTTATATAAAACTCGCGGTCAGGAGCAGCCTAGATCATTGTGATAATTCCCATATT